AAAGAACTTTGCATTTCCATCTCTCTCATCTCTTGAAGGATGGTTGGTGATATATATGGACAATATCCTAATCTTTTCAAAAACACTTAAAGAACATCAAGATCAGACTAGATGAATACTGGAGAAAATCAGAGAGGAAAAGTTGTTTTTGAAACCAGAAAAGTGCACCTTTGACGCCAATGAAGTTGAATACCTAGGGATGGTCATCAAGCCTGGACATGTAGAAATGGATAAAGCCAAGACTGACGGCATCAAGAATTGGCCGGTACCCACTTCCATTAAAGAAGTCTGATTGTTTTTGGGATTCTGCAACTTCTACCGAGCTTTCGTCTCCCACTACTCTGATATAGCCCGACCCCTTATTGATTTAACAAAGAAAGACACCACCTTTCTTTGGGATTCTACTTGCCAGCAAACCTTTGATTGTCTCAAGATTTGTTTCACAACTCATCCCGTCCTCAGAAACCCTGATCCACTCAAGCAATTCGCCATTGCTACCGATGCCTCTTTAGTTGCAATAGGCAGAGTCTTGTTACAAACCGATGAAAACGGTGTTTATCACCCTTGTGCATATCTATCCCAATCCCTTAACCCAGCCGAAAGAAACTATCAGATCTTCGATCGAGAATTATTGGCTATAAATACCAAAGAACTAGTAAAACGAGTGGCCTGGTGGCCTGGTATGGGGGCATTCATCTGGAAATATGTTGATGGCTGCGCTACTTGTCAACAGATGAAAGCAAACACCCATCCAGTAACACCTCCCCTGGTTCCTATTTCATCTGCCGCCACTAGACCCTTCTCTCAGATCTCTGTAGATCTTATCACAGATTTGCCCCTGTCCTCTGGCTTCGATTCTATCATGGTCATGGTAGACCATGGGCTTAGTAAGGGGGTGATTATTGTTCCTTGTCACAAAACTATTTCCTCCGAAGGAATAGCCAAACCCCACGTTCCATGCTTCTCAGTTATCGTCCTATAGCAAAATGACGTCCATGGTCCGACTTCCTAGAACCCCACCTGATATTCTAGAAGAAGAAGAAGAAGAAGAAGAAGAAGAAGAATATGAAATTGAAGCCATCCTTGCTCATAAAGGCAATGGGAAACATTGCTGGTATCTGGTATCGTGGAAAGGATATTCTTCTGCAAGCAATGAGTGGATCCCCACAGAAAACCTGGGAAATGCCGAAGAAACCCAGAGTCTCAGCTTATAAAAGACAACATGCACTCTGAAATCAGAAATTATTACAACTGCATCACCTTTTCCCAGCCTAAACCAAAATGTCCTTCCCAGTCTCCTACACTCTCCCCTATGGATCTATGTTTGCACAAACCAACTTCTCATCTGACGAAGGAAGTTTTGCAAGTTTTGTCTCAGAAGTCGAAGACCTCACGCTCATTGAAGCAGCAATCCTCTGCCCCCAACATGCTATCAAAATCAACAGAATCCTTATTTCTCGAAACACCTTCTCCGTCAACCTCATCGTCAACATCATCTGTTCCACCAACCTCATTGAGAGGTTCCTTCGACATGTGGAGAAACCACATGTTCAGCATGGTATCATGCATTTACAGAAACACATTCATTCCTACGCTTTGCATCTTATTCCTGAGGAAGTTAAGTTTGATATCCAGACGGCTATTTATGTCGTTGCTGAATGAGTTGCCAGAGTTGCTTGTCCACCGTCTCCACAACCAATTGGATGAACTACTGCAACCCCTCCACCCTCCTATGATAGTGGAATTCCCATTCCTCCCCCTTGCTTGTCTAGTGAGCTATTGGACACTGTTAATAGTCTCATGCAGATCACTAATGCTATGATTGCAAACCTGCAAGAATAGACACAGCTAGCAATAGTTAATACCCTTGCAACCCCATCAGATACTGTGGTAGCTCCAGAAGAAACTGTAGAGCACCTGGTAAACATTTATACCGCACAACTCCGAACAGCCACCTCTCTACTGCCTCCGAGCCTCGCAACCTCACAACCTGCCCTGCCACTCTGCCCCTAGCATCTACTGACCCTGAGGCTGCTCGCACCCAAACCTCAAGCCAACTCTCTCCAAAGCAAGCCCTGCCAGACCACAAGCAAGCCACAACCAACTGCCGCCAGACCACAACCACAGCCAACCCTAACCGTCACAAGTACCCCCCCAGGACATGCAACACTCTGGGGTCGCACAACAAGGCAATCAGTGAGCATCAGTGTAGTGGTGTCCTTATTCAATCCTTGATATTGTCGTTTCCATTGTCGAACTCATTCTCAACACTCCCCATTTCCATATCTCGTCCTAGTGGGTCTTCCTCTCCCTGGTCTTGTGCCCTTTCTCTTTCCACTTCTTCTAGCAAGGAGCCAGTCCATGGTAAGAACAGATGGAGGCATCTAGCATGCACCCATCTAGCTATTGGGAATCCCTCCAGGGTGGAGACTTGATATGAGTTGCCTCATTTGGTGACAATTCATCGTGGTGCGAACCAGCAAGGCACAATCTTGCGTACAGATGAGTAGTTCCCATCGACATTGCTAGCGTAGACCTGGACTAATTGTCCATTTTCAAACATAATTTCGCCAGTGTTTGATGCCAGCACGTGACAGTTGAATGCAGCTTTTTGACGTAAGTTTCTATCTTGTTTTCTCTAGCATTGTTCTTTTATTTTCTTTTATTTAGGATGCTATGACCTACCCAATACTCCAGAAAATATTATTTCTGAGTATGATGTCATATAACTCCACAGAAAGTTCTAGATGATTCTGTTGGAAATTATGATGTAATGTATGAAGTCATAATGATGTCATAGGCCCTAGAATGTTCTAGCTCCACTATGATGTCATCTCTGATGTCATTGCTCCATCTTTTATTTGTATTTTATACTTTTATTGGGTTTCACCCAATATTCTGATTGGTTCTCTCTTTATTTTATTGCTTGCAAACCTACATTACTTTCCCACACAAAATGTATTATATAAGGAGAGCCCATTCTCCCCCCCAAAAAACAGAGATCCCTCCTCTGGACAAATCATTCTCACACACAAGAGAAACCCGGGAACAAGACATCTCACTTGTAAAGATCTCCCACTTGCATTAGCTATCTCAAAGATAGATCTGTTCTTGCAAAGATAATCCCTTTGAAGTTTATAACAGATCAAGTGCAGGGAAACAAGTCCCTTAAGATAATAAGTTTCTTAAAATAAGAAACTTACATTATTCTATAGAGATCCCTCTTCTAGGAAATTTTCTTCTCAGAGAAACCCCCTCAGTTGAACAAGACATCTCACTTGTCAAGATCTCCCACTTGTAGCAGCACAAGTGTTCCATCCTGCGACAGTCACTATAACTACATGGATACGCCCTCCTAAGAAATCGTTGAACCTGAAGTATCGTAATGCTAGATATTATGCGAGTGCTGTACGTATCCTTAGAGTTGTCTGATATTAATGCTGACTTCACATTCACAGGTACTTTACCCCAACAAAAACGAGAGGGGCCTGGAGAAAGTCCAACATATGTTCCAATGCATGCTCGAGAAAATCTGTGATGCAGTTGTTGAGCACTTACAGACTGAGCATGCACATGAAGATAAATTACTGTAAGCACTACTAGTATTTACTGTTATCGTAAATTCACCAGTTCTATTATTTTCAGTGACGCACTCCAGATTGTGAAGGATTGGTTGGGACAAATGCACCAAGCAACTGTGGGCAGCAGTGAAGCAGACGGGATTCTATCAGTATCGCTCGTGGCAACACAACCTCCTCAAGTGTGCTGCAGATGAGAGTGAGGATATGGGTAAAGCTGGAACGAGCAAGAAGAGAGGAAGGATCACATAATACATATTGTTCCTACTTGTGCGTCTCGTGTGAATTGACATGTTTTTCATCACTCTGGTTTTCAAACTGTATTACTGCATGTTTTCATCACTTTACGCTGTATCAGTGTTCGACTTGTACAATATGTTTCCTATCAAACCTACCGTCTGCAGGTGTTCACAGAATGGTTGAGCTTCGACATTTGAAAGGTTGGCTTTGCAAAGGCAGAGGCTCTCAATGTGTTTGAAAACATGCAGTCACAGTGCACATAAGCGGGAAATCTTGAAAATAAAACGCACAAGCTCTTTTATTTGACAGGACGTGCAGCGTGCAGGGTGCGCAACTCTGTACTTGTCTCCAGACTTATGTTGCTGGTTGCATCACAGAGATCTCCAAGACTGATATCTTTGTCATACTTTTTTGAACTGACTTCAAAGACAATCGTACTAATGCATAGTTGTTACATAAATAACTTGTTTACACCTATGACGAGAATGGTACAATTCTGGTTGGCATTGCAAGTGGCCCATCTCAAGTTCAAGTTTGGGCAGTAACTGATGATGCTGCATAATTGTTACACATATATTGTAATGTTTCACATATATGACGAGAATATTGTACCTCTAGATTGTCAACTGGTTGGCATTGCAAACGACCATCACAAATTCAAGCTTAGGTAATACATGACCATACTGCATAACTGTTACATATTGTAAAGTTTGACACCTATGATGAGAATATTGCAACTCTAGATTGCCAACTGGTTAGCATTGCACATAACTGTCACAAATTCAAGCTCAGACAGCATATGATCATCTTTAGGAGAGATGCCAGCCTCCCTTCATTGATTTATTTATAACCACCACAGTTATGAGGCATACATGTTTTCATCGGAATTACAGGTTTATTGTCATTGGGCGTCGTGATGGTGGCACTAATATATTGCTTTGTATTTGGGTATAATTTATGGATACTTTGTATGATTTTGCTAAAAATATCTATGAAAAACAAAGCCAGCCCGATTTTGTGATGATACGGTATGTCTACTTCCTCCCAAGATTGATAGGAGCTTTAATATCCTTTGACCTGAACTGGAGTCCCATTGCTCCAAATAAGATTGTCTAAAGGCATCGGCAGTGCTTTGGAAGCCGATGGCTCTGGCATTACCACTCCCTGTGTCACATCCACAGCTTATGATGAACTATGCAATGCAGTCGATTGTGCAGGGCGCATTTTTATGAGTTGTCTGGTTGTGATGGCCTCTTGTCTGTTTATCCGAGAGAACTCCCAAAGTTTTCTTCCATCGGGAAGATACAGCAGTGGGATCAGCTCCTCCTGCCTTGGTATTACTTCCTTCCATAGCACCACCTCTTTTGGCCATCTGGTGCAGTCCTCTATCATCTATGTGAGAATAACAAAGAATGTCACAGGACCAGACAGGAAACCTGTCCCTATCCTCAGGACATATCTCTTGTCTTTCTGCTCTTTTTACCAGGGTATTGTCAGAGTCTACTTCCTTGTTTTTCTCATCCAAATCAGTTAGCGAAGTTTGATTGCCAAAAAGAACTCCAAGAATGCTCATTGAACTGTTTGGACGTGCAAGACTTCCATTCTGGCACTATATCCATCCAGTTGTGAGTGTTGATAAAACTCTCTCTGTTACTAATTTCTCTATTGAAGTTGTGGCTGTTGGTTGACTAGACCTGAGATTGTCTGAAATCTGCTGAGTTGGTGACTTACCTCGAGACCATTAGTTTTCCTTCTTCGCCTTTCCAAGCTGACAGTATGAATAGCCGCATTCCTGCCTTTTTGAACATCTCAGCAGTGACATGTCGCAGAATGTCCTTGCTCTTTTATCTTGCCATATCCACTTGAACATAGGAGGAACTCCTTGTTTTGAGATACTTAGAGTAATACATATCCTTTTCCCCAGCCTTCACACCAGTTTTGTCCTCAATTTTCTTCAGAAGTTCCTTCTTCCAGAGAGTACCAACCACCATCCGGTACATCCACTTTCTTCCAAGATTGATAGGAGCTTTCCAGTAGACCTGCATGCTGAACAATATGAACAATTCAATTCCTCAAGTGTTAGTTATATGATCATTCACCTCTACAGTATGCATGTCTATGTCTTTTATGTGTCTTATTGTGCCTTCATACTCATAGTATTATTCCTGACACTTTACTTACCATTTACATGACTTCTTAACCTCCCTAGGACGTCCATATGTCGAGTTATTACTTACCTTTGATTGTGGCTTGTCTGTTTACATTTGTTTGCCATACGTCGCCCATACCCCAGAGTCCAGTGTTCCCTGCCTCTTTGGCAACTTACTCTGGACTCTAGTCTGATCTCTTCTGGTCTCTCAGTAGCCTCTAGAAGCGGCCCACTTTAGTCCCATCTTAACATATCAAGAGTATCTGCAATTGATTGCAGAGTAGGATCATTCCGGCTTATATACCAAATTAGTCTAAAGGAGGCTACACCACGTCTAGGCAAAGTTCTGTTCATTTCTTTAAGAATGTAGGATCCACCTTTGGTTTCTCTCTCAACAACAAAGGGTCCTAAGTATTGTTGTTTAGTTTTGTGATTCAGTTCTTTCTCAACTAGTACAAGATCACCTGGTGCGAATGATTTTCTGTGCATCCTCAGATGATATTTCTGTTCAAACTGAAGCTTGGACTTAAATCTGGCCTTCTTTAATGTCTTAGCGGCACATCTCAAGTCTTCAGGATGTCTTTCGATTTGGCATATTTATAATGTGAGAAAATCAACAGGATTCAGATCCATGTGAAATCCTTAAACAAGGAATGTAGCTTCACTAGGTCAAAAGGTAGAACAGGATGGACTCCATGTAATAGGTAGAAAGGTGAGAATCCAGTTGCACGGCTTGTGGTAATGTTTTCAGCAAAGAGTGCCTGAGCAACCTTCTCAGGCCATCGTGAGATGTGCTTTTCACAACTTTTTACTATTGCTTCTCTGATATTAAAGTAACATCTCACTGGACAAGAGGGAGGTAGCAATGGTAGTGAGGCCTGTGTGTGCGATGCCAAGGACTAGGTCTCTGTCCAAGGCAAGACAAAGGATGTCCTTGACAGTCCCAACATCGAGGAGTAGAGATTCTGTGAGTGCATGAATGGTGTCCTTGTCAGGGAAGGGCATGAGTAGGTCTTCTAAGATCTTTGAGGCAAGGATAGGCTCTCCATGGTTTTCAATAATGGCAGCATAGGAATTTAGCTATTTTCACTCACTTTCAGAAAAGAATAGATTCACATCCTCGTAATGACCTAGATTCTCGATGACGTTAATAAGGTGCCAGCTGTGAGCATGATGATCTTGAATTTCATGAACATGTTTGTACCATGTTCGTCTGGATCGAGGGCCTCCTGTAGGGAGTTTAGCTCCCCCAGATATAACAGGGTGCCCAGAGTATGACCCGTCTTGGAACATATGAGAGTTCCAGTCATTTCTGATGATTTCGTCCCGACAGAAGCAGAATGACTCGATGGCCTGCACAACATTAGGGATATACACTGAATGATAGTTGTCATACTTGGCTGACTCGCTGTTAAGGTGCTCTTCAGCCTCCGTGCAAGTCGGTCCTATAAAAGAGATTTTGGTCCTACCATCTGCATGAGCAGGTCCATAATAGGAGATGTTCCCTGAAGTTGCTGCAGGGGTAGGTGATGAGGTATATGCACATCGTCCTCATCTTTCTCGTATCTAAGCAATGCATGATGAGAGGGAGTGTCAATATCATGCTTAAACAGAAGCAATAGAACAAGAAAAGGCATGTACTCATTCTCAAGACTCAGCTAATCCTTTGAATTAGGAGGTGCCATTATGATGGTGCTTGCTGGTACAGGGGAACTAGAGTTCAAGTAGGTAGACTCTTCTTGGTCTATTGTTAGACGAATAAAATAGACGTTGAGTGAGTCATCATTTTGACCTGCTTGTTCATCATCAAACAAGTAGGTAGATGGTGATGTGTGTGGTGGTGTTGATGCTATAGACGAGCATGAGGAATAGGTACCAAAAGGTTTGACATTATTATCCTGAGCTGTGCAAACTAGAATTGTGATGAGTGCATCATAAAAACTTATAGTCTTTATGTGCTCACCATTGGAAGCATCATGTGCCTCATCCTTCAGGTCCTGTGCTGAAAGAACTTCTCCTTCTGTCATATCCTGCGTTCCAGACCTGGACCAATCATGCAATCATCTCTGGACTTCTGGACTTCTGGATCCAGTTAGCTCCTATCTTCCGTGCCTTTTCCCTTGAGCATTTCCCTTATCAGTTAGTATGCTTTATTTTCCATCCCTTATTCATTTCCGTCTTCATTTTACTAAGTTCTGATAGACTAGTGTTAGGCACTCCACATGCTCTGTCCATAGCCTCGCACTGTGCTAACTGATTCTCCATTATGTCCTTTGTAGTATATAAACCCTGTAAAGTCTTTGTATTTCCTCAGTTCAAATATTATCTTAGACTCTGCTCATTCCCTCCTCCGTCCGACTTGAGTCTCTCTTCTCATCGACCTCCGATAGTCTTAGGATCGACTCCTATAGACTTGTCACCTTCGCCTCTACTGCGCCGGAATTCCCACACATCAGACTCCAGACTCCGGACGTTGTCCGTTAGCCCTCGGAAGTTAGGGGCATGTACTCGGGTAAGGGGTGCAGCACACGAGCTGAAGCCAAGCCCTTCAGATTTGACCCTTGAGCACATTCTTAACACCTTCCTCTAATACTGGCTTCACAAAAGCCTCCTTATCCTGTTCATCATCACAAGCGAAGTCTCTGATGAAGACGTTATCTGGGATAGCGTCTATGGGAGGTATCAGAGAGTTAGTGCAAGGATCTGGGTCTGGATCAGGTTTGGAGTTAAGGATATTTTCAAAACAAGGTTCATTGGTAACACAGCATACAGATAGTGTATGTGGTTTGGTAGTGTTAGGCAATAGGTGCAAGTGAGCGTCATTGGCATTGGCCAGAAGATGGGGGTCTGGATTGGTGTTGGTGTAAGTGCTGTGCACAATGTTAGCATTGGCATTGGCGAAAGTGCCACATGCAACATTACCATTGGTGTTGGCAAAATTTGTCAAGGAGGAGGTGAATATGAAGTAGTGTTTGATTTTGTTAGATTTTGTAGATGATTAGATTCATTCCCTCCCATTGAATGGGCAAATGAGAGGGAGAAGGGATGTCCAGTTGCAAGAGGTCGAAAGGTGGGGATAAGGATGTGGGGTAGAAAGAGAGAGTCAAACTGCCATTCTTAATAGAAGTGGTGAACCGGAAGTTGCCAGGGTTCTGAAAAAGGAAATCAGCCACTTTGGCGCGAGTATTGTTGAATGTGTGTTCCAGCATATTCCAAGAACACAATAAATTACCAAAATTGGATGTGCATGTGATTTGTGGATGCCTCATGCTGTATTGATTAGACATGAGGCTAGTGGGCACTGGCCATAGCACTGGTTCTGGCACTTCTTTGATAGATTTTATGAATTCTTTTATTTCAATTTTGGCTGACTAATCCAGATCATTGCTGATAAATTCCTTACAAATAAAATTCTCGGCATGAAGATCATTTTGCAATTGTTTGTCATGTGACTTTTGAGTTTAGAGTTCTGCATGCTAAATTCTGAATTCAGCAATTCTTCCTTAATTTCACAAAACATGGTTGTTTTGCCCATATTACTGACCCAAGTGGACAGTTCAAAGTCCCAATTAGGCTCATTTCCATCAGGAGTGCATAGAAGTTCATAATGGACTTCTAAATCGAGTGGATTTTTGAATAATAACTATGTCCTATTCTTAGAGGGATAAGGAAGATATGAGAGACTATCTAGCCCTCTGTCACTAAGTTACCTCTCTATTTTTCCTTTATTTCATTGTCTTGTATTTTATTTTTCACTTTTCAGGCTTATTTTACCTTGTATTTTTATGAGCATGTGACTTTCTGTTTATTTCTCATTATTTATTTTTATTTGGCTTCTTTCAGATTTGTTTGTCAAAGTTTTATATGTCTTTGTTTATATCTGACTGTTTACTTTTATTTGGCTTCTTTCAGCCACCAGATTGTATTTGTCATCACATTGTGTGACTAGGAAATATTCTGGTTTGTAACATTATTTAAGCTGACTCAACATGTTTAGTCATGATTGGTCATGCTTTGTAACAACATTTAACATACAATCCTCCCACTTGACTCTTGTCTCAAACCGTGTGAGATCACTAAGAATTAAAGTGTAGGCCAACATAAGTGCCTTGAGGTAACATCTAAGATATCATTATCTACTCTAAGTTATATACTACCTTACAGGGGTTAACTATATAACTTTTGTTATCGTTATTTTGTTCTAGGTTATATACTACCTTACAGGGGTTGACTATATAACTGTTAAGACCATGCACAAAGGGTAGGACTAATTCCAAGGGGCTTGGCTTCAGCTCGTGCGCTGCGCCCCTTACCGAGTATGTGCCCTTAACTTCAGAATGAAGTCCGGAGAAAGTCCAGTGAAGTCCGAAGGACTTCCGGAGAAGCGTGGGAAACTTCGGAAGGACTTTCCGGACGAGTGCGAGAAACTTCCAGATGAGTGCGGGAAACTTCCGGAGGAACTTCCGGAAATTACAATGGAGTTTCGTCCTGACGGGGATATGTGTAATGGCTACTCAGGACAAGTCCTGAGTAGAAGCAAACAGAGGAAAGGCTGCAAGGACAAAGTCCGAAGCAGAATAGGTCCGGAGGACCGCGGGAAAGTTCTGGAGGAACTTCCGGAAACTTGGAGGAATGGTGGAGCGGAGGAGCGGAGGAGCGGAGGAGCGGAGGAGCGGAGGAGCGGAGGAGCGGAGGAGCGGAGGAGCGGAGGAGCGGAGCTCCAGCCTAGGGAATTCCTCCCTAGGCCTGAGATGGATAATTACTAAGTCTGAGGACTAGAACTGTTACGAGGACTTAGGGTGAAGGCTAGTGCGAGGACTAATATGTGTATGATATTCAGACTGAGGAAGTACAAAGATTCTACAGAGTTTATATACTACAGAGGACTTAACGGAGAGTCAGTCAGCGCAGTCCGAAGCTATGCGAGGCTGTGAATGGAGGATGTAGAAAAGTCAAACACTAGTCTATCGGAAAATAGTAAATGAAGACGGAGATGAAGACATAGGAAAATAAAGCCAGAAATGAAACGAGGTACGGAAAATGAGGAAGTCTAACTCAAGAAGGAACATACAAAGGGATAAGGCACGGAAGATAGATGCGGGTCGGATCCGGATGTCCGGAGATGAATGCGTGATGGGTCTGGGTCCGGAATGCAAGGAAGATAGATGTGGGTCGGATCCGGAAGTCCGGAGACAGGTGATTACCATAAGGGGATGGGCGCTGATTTAAGGTTTGGGTTTGGACATGACAGATAGGTCGGATCCGGAGATCCGGAGATGTGGATATCAGATCTGGCATCCGGATATCAGATGCAGGAGTACAGGGATCCGGACGGATAGAGGATTGGGTCTGGAGACATGGACAGGAGGTCCGGAGGTCCGGATGAGGCGTGGGAACGTCATCGGATGTTGGTCCGGAATGCGGGATATGACAATAACCATCAAACAGCTCTCATTCTGAAGCTTTATGTGTATCCATAAGACTCTCTCTTTCAACAGAAAGTGAGACACATATCTAAGGACAACAAAGTTAAAACACGACCTATCAGGCTGAAAAAAACCTAATGAATTTATCCAGAACACAGAACATTCCACAACACTTCATATAAGACTACACAAGAAGAGGACAACAAACTAAATTCTCCCAAGAACTGACCACATTACCTCCCACAGAGTAGAAAAGTCGGAGACCATGGACTTAAGAACTGGCAAGAAGTCTTCACTGTGTATAATTGTGTTGTCATTATACACAACCTTTATATAAGACCCTTAGGTAACAAGACATCACGCCAGGAGTGATGTGGAAAGTAAGGAAAGTATGTCGAAGGTCAAGGGTAAAATTATATTAGGAGAGGTCAGATTGTCGGATTCAGAGTGACTACAAAAAGATGAGTACATAGTGCTACAAGTAGTAACTCAGGATTCACTAAAACAAAAGATTAAGAACCTAGGTGAACAAAAACCTGCAAACAATTGGGAGCTGAATATAAATATATTGCAAGCAGGCAACTGACTGCCAAAAAAATTCGCTTGACTGATGAGGTGGAGGACGGGATAGACTGCAAGGTGACGAGGTGCTTGAAGGAGGGACTGCTTGTCATTGACCAAAGGGTTTTAGCTGAGCCAAAAAGGCGAGGACAATAACCCGACACTTCTCAGTGGTACAGATTGCTGCGTAGTGGGAGGAAGACTTGGACTCGACTCAGACTCAGTAGTACATACCACTGAGCATTCAGAGTTGATCAGTCAAAAAGGACTTGGAGGTGGTTGTGTTGAGGCTTGTTGATTACAATTGCATAAGTTAGGCTTTAGTCACGTGAGTGCAGTTTACTGCTCTCAGCATAGTCATCATTCACCTTTATTGTCCTGGCATGATGGTATGTACTGTCATGTTGTCGCTCACCTCTGTTTCTTCTGTTTCTATGAGGAGCCGACTTCAACTGCTGGGGCATCATCAATCATCAATAATATTTGGCACGACGGTATGTACTGTCGTGTCATCCTTTCATCGCCTGCCTCCACTGGATCTTTATTCCATTTCCGTTCCTGTATGGCTGCACTCCTTCTGGCAAATACTCAGAGTGTTCATCCACATTCATTTATCATTATCAGTGCCCATGTCAGTAGGCACATTGTACTTTGTCGCCTTGTTTTCCTTGTAAAGTTTATGTTATTGTGAGTCGCTGTTAAGAACGTGCTCAAGGGTTGTATCCAAAGGGCTTGGCTTCAGCTCATGCGCTGCACCCCTTACCTGAGTACGTGCCCCTAACTTCCGAGGGCTAACAGATGATGTCCAGAATCCGGAGTCCGATGTGCAGGAATTCTGGTGGATGTTTCGGGAACAAGTGATAAGACTAATCCGGATGAAGTCCAAACTAGAAAGGAAACAGTGGAGGACTACCAGAGGTAGAGGTGGAGGTGGTAAGTCAATAGGAGTTGATCCTAAGACTATCAGAGAACGATGAGAGGAGACTCAAGTCGGATGGAGGAGGGAATGAGCAGAATCTAAGATGATATTTGAACTGAGGAAATACAGAGACTTTACAGGGTTTATATACTATGGAGGACAAAACAGAGAATCAGTCAGCGCAGTGCGAGGCTATGGGAGGCTATGGACGGAGCATGTGGAACACCTAACACTAGTGTATCAGAACTCAATAAAATGAAGACAGAAATGAAGAAGGTATAGAAATTAAGTATAGTTGGTTATAGGTATAACCAGATGACTGGAAACAGGGGCTAACTGAGAAGCGACGTACGAAAAGGGAAAAGACCTGGAAGATAGAAGCTGATCGGATCTGGAAGTCCGAAGATGATTGCGTGATAGGTCCGGGTCCGGAACACGGGATATGACAGTTGCCCTCACTTTGCCCTTGTTCTTTTATTGTATTTAAATGGTCATCCCGGTCTTTACTCTCCTAGACTTAACCATCACCCATAGACGACGGTACATACTATCGTCAGCATCATTCACCTGATGCCCATGTCCCGTCCATCGCTCAAATGATGCATGTGTCAGGAGTGTATTACCAGGGGCGGATGTGACGAATCAGGTGCACCAAAAGGAGTGTTGATAGCAGAACACTTACTCACTGCTCATATCCAGCGTGTAAAGGCAGAACATGCTGAGCCCGTGGCTGTCACCTCCAATCTTTCTGCATGCATCACCACTGGCAGCAGTATTGCTCCATCCCATGTTTGCATTCTGGCAGATGAACTCGGGCAGTTAACATTGTCACCACCATTGAAGTCAACCCGCAAGGGTGCTGGCGAGAAAGTATCCAAGAAGGAGCATGGTCAGCAAACCATGAGGGCATTAGATGTCCTTGACAACATCGAGTCCCATATTCAATGGATCTTCTGCTTGCTACTGGATTCTGGTGACCTTAATGACATTGGCCGCGAGGTACCTTTGCTTCACAAAGCTGTCAAGAATGTCAGTTGATGGGCAGATGTCATAATGACGTGAAAGCAGGCAATCATCACTCAGATTGATGACTTGGCTGCACAGATCAGCAGGCATAAGCCATCTCATGATGTGCTGGTATCCGTCGAGATTAATACCAAGATTTTCTTGTACCACAACTTCAAAGATTATCTTGCTAGTCTCCTCTCGTGTAGAGATATCGAGGCTGTAATGGATCAGGCATGCGATGATGTCATGGAATCCATTAACTCTCCTCATCTACCCTTCATCAAAAATCTGTTTGAATCTCAATTCCTCTGTCAGTTTGGTGGCCTGGAGCCAGGCTTGCCTTTTATTGACAGAGGAGAGGAAAGACTTTAAGAATTGGAAACCTCGCAATAGAGACAATGTGGATTCGATGCACTGCCTATTGGAAGGCTTAGTTCCTCACCACACTCATAATCTACTTGGTTTGACTTCGAGGTCAACCACATCGACTTCTGTCATTCCCACATTTATGTATGATTTTGGCGAAGTGTCTCCTAGGACAATGACACAGATATCTGTGATCCAGACTCTCCTTGTTTCCCAGATGAGTATTTCCAACAAAGAGGCTTGTTTTAACAAGCTGAAAGACTCTCTGTTGCACAAGAATACGGAACCATTGAAGTTCATCTGCAATACCCTGGGTTGTATGCCAAGGAAAGCTGGTGGAACATTTAAGATAGATTATGTCAAAGTCCTTCTCGATTGGGTAAGTTCTTTGCCATTGTATTTACTGTCCTGAGTTTTCTAATGATTATATACAGCATTGTGGAAAGTCTTCAGCTGCTCCCCAAGACAAACCTCAGTTAGACTACTAGGGTCCTGTTGGATAAAGTATGTACCCCAAAGGGTGGTATAGATCCCTACCAAGAGCTTGCTGAAGATCCTATGGATGATATTGTCCAGGCGCCTGACTCAGCAATGACCAGTGTAGTACCTGAGGATTTATATACTCTTATCAGATGGTGAAAAGCAGTATTGCAGGCCTCACTCAAGTTTGCTAGTATTATCTACAGCAGGGCATCTATGCACCTGGAAAACAGCCAGATTCTGTTCTATCCTGACGGAGATAGATTGTTGACCCCTGTCTCCACTAGTATCATATCTATGGTACGACAACAGGAGAAATGTTGTTCCCTGTACAGCGACATCTCCCACTGGATATTCACAACCATACAATTGACCCCTTCTTGATGTATCCTGATTTTCTGGCCAAGTTGTACTTGACAAACTTACAGAGTTGTCTCAAAAAAGTCAAAGTGTCCTGGGTGGTTGGCCACTTTGCAAGGTGGGTGATTTCTGAGTCTCATGCAGTAATTTTATCCCTATCTCGGGATTGAGAAATTCAACTGAACCCTCTCAATGATTCATACTGACAATTGTATCTTTTGTATTGTATTAGTGTTGTATGTTATTACTAGATACCCATGATAATCACAGTGTATATTTGAATTCTCGCATATCTGCAAATGTTATACATGAGGTGATGAGTTCAGGTGGTAAGCAGGCAACAACTGAGTTGTGAGTGGGCAATGGTTGGGCAATGGGCAGGTGATGATTGGGTGATTCATTTTGTCTGCAGACAAAACTTGAAGTTTTGTCATCATATTCTGCCACTAGTGTAAACTTCAAATTTTCAGAGCATCTTAATTGTTGGACAAAACTTCATAAATAAGCAGGCATATGGTCATGTCCCAAATTTCATGTTTTGTCTGCTGTTTTAGGTCTGAATTAAACTTCAAATTTGAGCACACACAGAAAATTCGATCAAATTTCTTATTATTATTGACATATAGTTGATGGGAATATGGTTGCCGATGCTTGAAATTTTGTATGTCGTCCAAAACATTACCAATATTTGAAGTTATGTCCCTATCTTTATGTCAGTTTAAATTTCATATATTTTCTTCACATTTGGTATGACATAAAAACATCTCCTAAATATTGATAACCCCAATGTGCTAGTAGTATTGACCCTCCTAATCCGACTCCAACCTTCTTTCTGTCAAACGACAATGTCAAAATGATGGATGATTTTGTACAAAGTTGTTGTGGAGAAAGACATTGAACACGGGCCTTGAGAGCGAAAGGTAACAAAGATTGCTATGAAGAAAGGATGTGTGTGCCAGTATCTGTGTTGAATGAATGTGGGGAATCCTTCATTGCTGCCAACAAAAAGCATGAAAAGACAAGTACTCGTTTTTTTAGTGACACGGGCCTGATGGCCCTGCTATGTGGATATGAACATGTTCTCTGGCTTGCCAACCTCACATTGGCAGGGGAAATGCAACACTATGTGCTCGCTCTTCTGGATCACTTGTTCAAGCATCTGCTGCTCAGATGACCGTAGGACCTCTCTATGACATCGGGTGTTAACTCAAAAAACAAAGCTGCTGAAAATGGAAACTCCTTGATGACAACACTCTGTTCATATATTCTTCACTGTTGCAGTATTCCATGCATATGGCCATCAATGGCCCTGTTAGATCATCTACCACCTGAGGAAGCACAAGGGTTTTGGACTGTCTGACGGCAAGGGATGTGAACGACTGTGGAGTTCTCTTAAACAACTCATCCCATTGTTACATGTTTCTGGGGTAAGTCTATATTCATGTATTATACTACATTTCTGACTATACTGTAGTTCCATCAACGTCTTTTTGTTCTTGATGTTCAAATTTGCCACCTGGACACAAAATCCATTCAAGGCTTGGGACACTGGCTCCATTGGCAATGGGTACATTGTCAAATGAACAAGAACACAGCTATGGGCAGTTTACTAAACTTAGACATTGATGAGGATGTCCTACATGCTGAATGGAAGGTGCAAATTACTCACCAGACATGACCCACCCCACATAAGAGTTCTACTAGTGTTCTCGCCACCTCACTGAGTATATTGTATAGGGCAATCCCAGAACAAGGTGGCGGAGGTCATTACAACTATTCTTGCACTGGAGAAGACCATGGATGCTCATGAGACTTCTGTCTATGAGCTATAGATGCAGCTTTATGTAGGCGGTGTTCCTAATATTGTGGAGTTCAATCTGCAGCTTGCTGATGCTCGGTCATAATGTGCCAAAATCACAGATACCCTTTGACATCATAAAGCTGCTCTTAGAATGCAAGGAAAGGCCGATCTTGAGATAATGAAGAACAATATTTATCTGAAAGTCTGCTTGAATGCTCGTCAATACAAACTCGTATTCGGGACCATCTCCGTCAACACAAGTTTGAATTGGAGAGACTAGAGAGGTTGTATTGAGCAACAGTTAATGATATGTTAATTCTATTTGACCTCACTTCCAGTGTGTCTCATATATTTTCAGCAGAACACAAGCTTCACATAAACACCCAGCACTCAATCAAATGCCAAGAACCTGGGATTCTCAAATTGGTTTTGACTTACAATAGCCTGTGTACTCAGTAACAATCCCTTATACATCAGCAGAGAGCTCCTCCTTCTGCTATTCCATCTCACTCTATTACACGCGAGGGCATCTTTCTACTCAATGTGGATGATGAGATCTGGCAGGATGTTGGCCTGGACAATGACTATATGCACCCACTGGCCTGGTTATTAGATGAGGCCACCAGGTCTGGTATTCATTTATAGCTTGAAGTGGATCAGTGCATTGAGGAAGAGACTTGTTTGATGCAAGAGTGGTCTGTGATGCAGGAGTGGATGTTCACAGAGTGGGAGGCCATACAAACTGCATTGAGAGATGCTGGTGCATGTAATCACAGTATACCATGATTAATATTTAATTTGTCAGCAGCCGATGATCTTGTGATGTTGTTCCACCTCAGTGCCTGTGTGGAGGAACTTCTGTGCATCTCTGTCATCTGGAAGAAAAAAACTTAAGAGATTCCTTTTGCTTGGCCAGTCGAGAGTTGGGGTCCTTCAAATGAAGATTTAATTTGAGCTGCTTGAGACCAGGTGCAGTCTTTTTTTTTTGCAGGATGATGATGATAATGAGAGTGTCAGAGTGGGGGAAGAGAGTGATGAGGAAGGTGATCAGACATATTGTGATATCAGAGATGATAAACTAGTGGATGTGATTGAAGAGATTGCATTAGCTGATGAGTATACTAAATTGTCACTTAAAAAACAGTACTGCACATAACATCCCTGACTCCCATGTTAGCTATACTTTTCTCAGTGAAACATGATAAATCATACTATAGGGTCATGGAAATAGCTATAAGTACCTGCACTTGCAATTGGGATATAAAGCCACACAAGGTAGTGAGACCCTTGTACATCATTCCCCTTCACTTCTTAGATATTTCCTTCTTGAATATATCTGATGAAATTGTTAATGAAAGTCTCATTGAATGTTTCTTTTGAAGCTTAGTGCTTCTATGGCTTTCAAATCATGATAAAGACCATTCACTTCAAGACCTACTTACTTCTCATTCCTATCCCCTGTGGCTCTTCCCACACATCACTATAGACTGTTTCTATTTACTACAGTTCTTTCCATATCTAATTGTGGGCCTTTCCCATGTAATGTAATCCTTCTCACATGTCACCATGAGTTGTTCCTATTCACCATGGTTCTTTTTTCATTTACATGGTCATTTCCTATCTACTGTGGTACTTCCCATGTTTATCTATGGTCTTTTTTATTTATTGTGGTCCTTCCTGTATATCTCAATGGTTATTTCTCATCCACTGTCACAGGTCCTTCTCATGTGTCTCTATGGTCCTTATTCATTTACCATGGTCCTTCCTATGTGTCTTGGTGATCATTTCTCATCCACTGTGGTCCTTCTCATGTGTCTTGATGATTATTTCCCTGTCTCTATAGTTCTTTTTTCATTTACTGTAGTCCTTCTTATGTGTTTCAACAGTCATTTCCTATCCACTGTGGTCCTTCCACATATCTCTATGGTTCTTTTTCATTTACTATGGTCCTTTCCATATATCTTGATGGTCATTTCCCATTTATTGTGGTTCTTTTTATTTACCATGGTCTTTCCCATGTGTCTCAATAGTCATTTCCCATCCACTATGGTTCTTCCCATATGTCTCTATGGTCCTTCTTTATTTACCATGATTCTTCTCACATGTTTTCATTGTCTCTTCCTATTTACTGTGATCCTTCCTGCAGTTGGCCTTTTGATAGTTTCAATGTATATTCTATGTCCTCACTTTTAATGCTCAATATGTTGGCTTGATCTCACTATTGCTCCCTCCACTTCATGCAAGTTATTTTCTACTACCTTGGATTTGCTCATCACTTCACCTCTTTGCTTTTTCAAACACAAGTCTTATTTCAAAGTTCAATTGCAGTTCCAATGTAAGCCACAGCCTGAGACTACAGTCTTATGTCAAGACCAATTTAATGAAGTGTGATTTTATTTGTACAAGTCTCATTGGACTATACTTTTGAGTTTCCATATGCAGGCTTACTCAGAGTCTATTTCTTGCCTCAGTTGTGGCACATGCTTTGAGTATTCTTTGCTTTTGCAGAGATTTTACCTAGTATGGGCAGGTCTTCACCTCTTCTTACTTGTTTGTTATTGCACTATGTATGTAGGCAAATAGTATTTTACTTTTTGCCTCTTCTCACTTGTTTCTGTTATGGTACTAGCTTTTCATCAATATATCCTGGATACTGCCTACAATTTTGTTTTTAGCTGGTCTGATATTTATCTGATCTTTTTGGAGCATACCTCCAGAACAATCCTTTTGCTGGCTAATCCTCACTGCATGTGCTTCTGCAAGGCAAAGTGGGACCAATTAGTCACCACATTTGATTTATTTATTTTGCCAGAGTTTTTGGATCATGATAGGACCCCTGACACCCCTACACCATGGGAAATTCCCAATATATGTGTGGTCAAAAGTTAGCCAGTGGTTTTTCCCACAAAAATTATTTTGGCCCTTGGACTTTGCCTAATATATTTCATTTTGGACCCTATACATACTTGGGAAAGACCAAAAAAACATTGGCCAGACCACCTGAAAAGTATCCCCTAGGTGAAAACCTTTAGAGGTATAATATAACCTAAGAGGTACATACCTGAAATGGGGTGACCAAAGTGCTAAACCCGAAAACATCGGACCTGACACTTTGACATTGGACTCATAATTATACCTTCGGATATTGTTTCCTGTGCTCGGACTTTTGACCATTTATCTTTTCACTAACTATTGATCTAGCCCAAACAGCTAACCTCTCAGGTCAAACACACTTGTCTTGCAAGTATAGCAGACTAGGCTGTGCAAGGCCACAATATTATATTTGGCTGAGAGCTTACTGTGTATTACTGATCAGCCATTGTTGTATCATTACACTAGTGTTACTCAAAACTCGGCTAACTATGTTTCAAAATCTCAGTTAGAAGCTTCAAACTCTCGGCTAGAGACTTCAAACTCTTGGCCAAACACCCTTTGATGTGGCTCAATTCAAAGTCAGGCAACCACCGCAAGGCGGAGTTTCAACTCCAATGCCTCCCCTTCATCAATGTGGTCGCCGGTCTGCAAGACTTTGGGCTAATGCTCAATTGTGCTCAAAATCTATGGATGCTCAACCACCCCCCCCTGAAGGACTGTTGGCAAAGCTCCCTCCTGAATCTTCTGGCCCCAGGATAGTGATCCAGTGGCAAAGTGAAAACACCCTAACCAATGTCCTGGTAAATCATCTATCAACTCACCCTGCTGACTGCAGGATGCTCTTCTATTCTGATGGGAAGAAGGCGATGGCCTCTGTTGATGATTGCCCCTTAGGCTCAGACAAAGGCCAGATTTATAGCTGTATCGCCCAGTTCATCTTTGAGGGCCACCCTAAGTATGGCAGTGCATATGAACAGAATCAGAAGAAATTTTGTGATGCAGTCTCCAACTGCATCACAAAGTAAGTTCTCTCGTTCATTCATTCATACCTACACTAAGTCCCTTAAGTCTCAGAACAAAATACAAGAAACTCAAGGTGAAATTCAGTGATACTGATGCCGGTGTGGTGCCACTAGGTGACATGGCTATGAAAAATTTGTTAGGTGAGTCGTCTGTCACTTGCTTTTGGTTCTTTGCTGATTGGTTCTTATAGATGCAGTTCTTATTGAGCTCCCGTGGTACACAGAGCTTGATCAAATCTGGCATTTCAACCCATCCATGGCCACTAAGACTCACTCATCCAAGCCGGGGGCCGATCATGCAAGTACCTTGTACTCACTTGTCCAACCACATAGCAGGGCTGGTCCTGCCATACATTTTGATGCCAGTGCTCAATGGTCTTCTGTACCTACTCATGATGCTCAGTCCTCCTCAAACTCCCAGCCCTACAATGTATATACCTCCCATAGCGCATTTCCTGCTGTAACTACATATTCCACCAGCACTACATATCCACCTAGAGCCTCTCTTGCTATGAATTTGCACGGCAATCCTGTAATTGATCCGCAACTGCATCCAATTAGACTCCCCCCTTGAAGATGCTTTAAACCACCTTGATGATGATGAGATTATGTACAATGATACCAGTACCACCGATAACCCTCCCCAAGTTACGGGGACCAAATGACAATTTGCTGTGTCACCTTCTCCCCCTCCTTTGGCCCTACAACCACGACCATTTCAAATCCCCACCAAATCCCCAGCATCTTCATATGACAACCGCTCTGCATTCGGTGCACAGAGGCCATTGAGCCGTTGGGGGGTGACACACAGTGGTGCCAGAGATTGCACGCAGCATGTCAATGCCATCATCGACAACACGCAACACCACATCTGCATCGTCATCGGACTATATTGGGTCGCCGACCCCACAGACCTCACTGCCGGTCAGTGCAGGGAGCTCGAAGAAGAAGACTAAATCTGATGTTATGCAGCAGGTGGACCAGTTCCAGGGTGAGATTGAGAGCTTACAGTCTGATGCTATGTCACGTCATGATAGCAAGCATAAGCAGTTCCTCGCAAAACTCGAGGTAAAGTCTGAGCACCATCATGAGACGAAGAAATATGAGTGGATTCGCTCAACACGGGAGCATGAGGTGTCTCAAGCAGCCTCAACCATTGGTGCCAACAGAAGGATAAAGACACTGAGATCTGCCTTCATGAAGTGGATATACGGTCTTTAAAACAGCAAATGTATAATCAACATGAACATGGATCTAAAAAAAATCAATTCATTGAAATATGGTCCCCTCAAAAAAATACCTTAGAGAGGTGATAATTAAATGTCTTCTGGTCCTTAGTCAACACCCATTGCGAGGCTTCTTGAAAGGGGCAATGCACCATGGCTCCAATGGATATGCACTGTCAGCCCACACCCAATGACCATCAGGTAGAAGGTCAGCATGCTCTTCATAGAGACGGGTAGATAGAAAAGAGAATGCATCATGGACACTCCCAGGATGACCCAGAGAATAATCCACAATGAGAAGGTTATGGGGCAAAATGACTGCCTAGAATTACATCAATTTTGCACATGAAGATATAAAAAAAATACCTAACAGCCAAGGGAATATTTGGATTTCCTATCATAAAATGTCTCACCGAAGTAACCAGGTTTGGTGAAAAGATTCATAGTTGAGCCATCAATTGCTAGAAAGCCACCCTTCCACTCTGGGCAGGTACGCAACTCGGCAAATTTGCGAGCCAGGTCAGCATCCTCAGAATTATCTGCTGGGAAGCAGATAAACTGATCGTGAGCATCAAGCACTGCAATCATCACACAATTAGTGTAATTAACCACAGACCCAACACTCATGCCTGCCCATTGAGCGACATCTTCAAGAGTAATAGCATGTTCATAGTGGCTGGCTCGATTTAAAAGAATGGCATGTTGAATGGAGACAGGAAGCTGAGGATTGTTGGACTGATTTTGGAAGATGGGATGATCAGAAATAAAATTGAGGATGTCATCGAAGATCTCAGGGTTAACGCGGAGTTTCTGCCGAAACAAGTGAGGGCAGTGTTCTTCGTGATGAACCAACATGTAAAGCTAAGGTGCTTGTGGGGGAGGCTCATCAGACTTCTGGAGTACACGAGCCCTCTTAACCTCATCACAAAGAGCATTAATGGTGTCACAGAGGTGGTCATAAGGCACAGTAATGTCATCAGAAGAGATAGAACCATCACTGGAAGAATCTGAAGTCCCTGTTATAGGGGAGAGGGGGGAGGGGGGAGGGGGGAGGGGAGGGAAGGTGAGCTAAAAGATAGATAGATTGAATTATCATCATCTGAAGTAGTGGATAGTAAGTCCTCGAAGTCAGAATTGCTCTCAAAGTCAGACCAATTGTCCAGGATATTCTGGTACTGTAGCTTGGCCAGGGAAAGTTCAGCCTGATCTACAATAGCCAGGAGTTCTCTATGGATGGATGGTTGAGGCATAGTCACAATTGGGGGGTGAGGGCGGAAGTCGAGGGAATCAAAACTCCTATCCATTTGGTGTATATGTGACGTCGTTTGTGGCGGAGTTTGAAATTTTGGAAAGATCTGAAGTTTCATCTCGCAGTGAGCATGTTGGTGTCAATGTTGACCTCACCCTCCAGCCTCAATGCTCACCCACAGCACTGAGCAGGACACCAAATTTTCAGGTGTCACCAACTCAAGGTAAGTACTTTTTGTGCCTCTTGTATGTTCCAGCTAACATTCACCCTTATCTTACAGGAAATCTATTCTAGTGCCAGTCCCACACATGACCAACAGTGGCTCATTTTTACCGCCAAGCCACTGGTTTCTCCAACTCATCACTACTCCCTATACCTTCTACACTCCCCTTCTCGAGGGGTCGACTTTGCATTCATCCAGCTGGCTCAAGGCACACTTAGGTTTAGGCGACCCCTTATACCTAATGCAGTCTTTCAACCACCCCAACCTGTACTACTATGCAGTACAGCCTAAACTGTCCATGCAAAAGAAGCAAACAGAGGAAAGGCTGTAAGGACAAAGTCCAAAGCAGAATAGGTCCAGAGGACCGCGGGAAAGTTCTGGAGGAACTTCCGGAAACTTGGAGGAATGGTGGATCAGAGGATCAGAGGATCAGAGGAGCAGAGCTCCGGCCTAGGGAATGCCTCCCTAGGCCTGAGATGGATATTGACTAAGTTGGAGGACTAGAACTGATGTGAGGACTTAGTGTGAGATCTAGTGCCAGGACTAATATGATATTCAGACTGAGGAATTACAGAGACTTTACAGGGTTTATATACTACAAAGGACATAACGGAGAATCAGTCAGTGCAGTGTGAGGCTATGTGAGGCTATGGACGGAGCACATGGAACACCTAACACTAGTGTGTCGGAACATAATAAAATGAAGACAGAAATGAACAAGGTCCGGGAAATGAGTACAGTCGGTTATAGGTATAACTGGATAACCAGAAACAGGTGATTACCATAAGGGGATGGGCGCTGATTTAAGGTTTGAGTTGGGACATGACAGATAGGTCAGATCTGGAGATGTGGATGTCAGATCAGATGTCTGGATATTGGATCTGGAAATTGGACAGATAGAGGAACTGAAGGTCTGGAGACATGGATAGGGGATCCAGAGGTCCGGATGAGGCATGGGAATATTGTCAGATGTAGGCCCGGAATACGGGATATGACACTTATCTGCCAAACATTACCGTGCTGGTATGGGCTCACAAGAGCGCAGCACCACTCAAGATCCAGCCTTTGTCTGCCCCCATCAAGTAGTGTGCTTCATTATCCACTCAACTCAAGGCCCAAGCCACGGCAGGATCCTGGAAAGCAGCTCGAAGATAGCCATACTCTCCACCACTACAACATCATCTTTCACTTTACCTTATGTCTCTGCAGATTCACGCAGATCTTTTTCATGTGTCCTCCTTCCCTCCACACTTATTTAGTCCCTCCAGTGTTCACTACCTATGGCTGATTTCGTTCTTCTGCGGGCTCCCTTTTTTTAATGAATGCTAGCATTTGAAATACGATGTATATCTACTATGGGTTGCTTTTTTTACTCTAAGTACAACTTTCCCCTATGAACATACAGTTTGAAAAATCACAAGTGTTTGAATCTCTGACTTCGTGCCAACGTGCGCTGAGCATGTTCTGAGCGAGTTGAAACCAACTTTATTCAAGAGTTCAAAGTGTGTTAAGCGTGTTAAGCGAGTTTTCAAAACTTATTTTGAGTAACACTACGGTTTATCAAAGTGTTACAAGTAACATCAGTCACATGGCCCCCCTATCATTTTCTTATTATCCTTGCCCTCACCATCTACTGGCTCACGCTCCATTACTGAATATCCGTTGACTGGATCCTCGGGACTGTTCCCATCCCTTGTCTCCACCCCCCTCCCTGACCTTATTGCAGATAATGCACCAACATGTGCATGTACCCTAGCACTATGACTCGTCATGACTTGTGCCACCAATGTGGCTTTCCTTTTCTATTTCCTTTGACTTGCGCTTGCTGTGCATTGTATCTTTATCGTTGGCTCATTCCAACGTTTCCTGGTCTCATTCTGCATTCAACCTCCCATCACTGATCAGGCTGTGTTGCCAGCATACCTATACCCTTTCTGTTTCCCCTTTACCCTTACCTACAGTACAGTAACCCAGCCCTCAACCCTTCCCACTTAGTATAAGTAGTCGGTCATCCTGTACTAGATTCTCTAACTTGAATCCACTCAATCTTCCCTCAAAACTACTTCCTTCAAGAGCCCCATCAGCTCTTGTCTCTAGTATGACTTCTTAGGTGCTCATTGCACCTAAGTCTACCTCGATCAACGCTCATCATTTAGACAAGACAGTCCTTACTTTGAGTTCAGTGACTTCACAGACATCCATCTTAGAAGTCACATGACACGCACATCTGTGCCGACTTGACGTTGCCAGTCTCACTCGCTATACCAAACCCTTCCGGTTATGTCATGAACGTTAGTGGACAATGCCTGTTACGCTTTAACAATGAACCCCCTTTACTACTAGCCGTAGGTTTACAAGGTAGATTGCTAAGGTCAAGTTAGAGAAACATACATGGTAACTACTAGGTATATAAGCATGAGTTGAAGCGGAGCTCCAATATAGAATAGGAGCCTAAATGGTAATCGTCCAATGGGAATAATCATAGTAAGAGTCATACGATAATGTGGTGTGGAAATTAGGTAGAATGATGTTCTGTGAATAAGTGAATAAGTGAAAAGGTGATAAGTGACTATGTGAAGATGTGAAGTGGTGAAGAGGTGAAGGTAAGCCCAAGAACCATAACAACACCTCTCTTAGGGCTCCGCATAACAGACCTATTTGAGTGCATAACACAAAGTCTCTCTCACATTATCCGAACAATTTGAATATCTCAGCCCATACACACATCTCGCTTTCACATTCTTTCATGCTCATTGACACTCATTTATGTCCTATCAACTTTATTACAACACTCAGACTGTGGTGAAGAATGTTGCTGTCATATCCTGCATTCCGGACCAACATCCGATGACGTTCCCACGCCTCATCCGGACCTCCGGACCTCCTGTCCATGTCTCCAGACCCAATCCTCTATCCGTCCGGATCCCTGTACTCCTGTATCTGATATCCGGATGCCAGATCTGATATCCACATCTCCGGATCTCCGGATCCGACCTATCTGTCATGTCCGAACTCAAACCTTAAATCAGCGCCCATCCCCTCATGGTAATCACCTGTCTCTGGACTTCCGAACATCCGGATCCGACCCGCATCTATCTTCTGTGCCTTATCCCTTTGTATGTTCCTTCTTGAGTTAGACTTCCTCATTTTCCATACCTCATTTCATTTCCGGCTTTATTTTCCTATGTCTTCATCTCCGTCTTCATTTACTATTTTCTGATAGACTAGTGTTTGACTTTTCTACATCCTCCGTCCACAGCCTCGCATAGCTTCGGACTGCACTGACTGACTCTCCATTAAGTCCTCTGTAGTATATAAACTCTGTAGAATCTTTGTACTTCCTCAGTCTGAATATCATACACATATTAGTCCTCGCACTAGCCTTCACCCTAAGTCCTCGTAACAGTTCTAGTCCTCAGACTTAGTAATTATCCATCTCAGGCCTAGGGAGGAATTCCCTAGGCCGGAGCCCCGATCCTCTGCTCCTCTGCTCCTCTGCTCCTCTGCTCCTCTGCTCCTCTGCTCCTCTGCTCCTCTGCTCCTCTGCTCCTCTGCTCCTCTGCTCCTCTGCTCCTCTGCTCTTCTGCTCCTCTGCTCCTCTGCTCCTCTGCTCCTCTGCTCCTCTGCTCCTCTGCTCCTCTGCTCCTCTGCTCCTCTGCTCCTCTGCTCCTCTGCTCCTCTGCTCCTCTGCTCCTCTGCTCCTCTGCTCCTCTGCTCCTCTGCTCCTCTGCTCTTCTGCTCCTCTGCTCCTCTGCTCCTCTGCTCCTCCGATCCTCCGATCCACCATTCCTCCAAGTTTCCGGAAGTTCCTCCAGAACTTTCCCGCGGTCCTCCGGACCTATTCTGCTTCGGACTTTGTCCTTGCAGCCTTTCCTCTGTTTGCTTCTACTCAGGACTTGTCCTGAGTAGCCATTACACATATCCCCGTCAGGACGAAACTCCATCGTAATTTCCGGAAGTTCCTCCGGAAGTTTCCCGCACTCATCTGGAAGTTTCTCGCACTCGTCCGGAAAGTCCTTCCGAAGTTTCCCACGCTTCTCCGGAAGTCCTTCAGACTTCACTGGACTTTCTCCGGACTTCATTCTGAAGTTAAGGGCACATACTCGGGTAAGGGGTGCAGCGCACAAGCTGAAGCCAAGCCCCTTGGAATCAGTCCTACCCTTTGTGCATGGTCTTAACAGTTGCCTTCTCTCTCACCAAGCAACAGTTACTGGACCCACACACTCACTTTTACCTTGGAGACGTTGGAGATGACCCACTTGAGATCTGTTTTGGTCGCACATGCATGATCGGGGGTCATAATTCTGCATGCTCTTATGCTCAGGCTATCAATCGTCTTGCTGCTGCAAAGGATATCGACAGCATTTTTAAATGCCATCCCAAGCTTGATCCAGGTCATCGACACCTCAAACTCATGCACCATGAGGAAGTCAATTACATAAACTGTGAGATCTGGGAAGGTAATATTATTGCTGGTCATGATGATCTTCCCTTAGCTTGGCGCAAAGGTCGCGATGCTGCTCTATCCATTCTTTCAATGTCCCAGCTTAATCCACTTCACTACTCATTTACAGAACATTTTAACAACCCTTCTGTTGACATGATATGTCCATTTGGACAAAACAGATACTTTGGTGTCTGTACAGATGAAAAACTCATGGACTCCAGTCAGATACCTAATGCTCCTCTCCCTGTTGCAACAAGGAGTTGCAGCTTGAGTGTAATGAGGATGAAGAACTCATGCTAACCTTCCAGGAGGCATTGATCGATGAGTCCCCCAGTGATGCACCCACTGCTGGACCCTTCAACCAACTCAATCCTATAGTTCCGACATTGTCGACCCCAGAATTGCCACATGGTCCTGGCATACATCCTGATGACTATCTCTTGTACAATGAACAGTGGATTCATAAGCAAATGGTCTGTCGATTAGTCATCAACAAAGACTTTGTCTCAAAGTTGTTGAATTGACTTGAATGTGTGCACAAAGAATATACAAAAGTGAACAAATGGATCAATATGTTAGTGGGATGGATCACAGACTAAAACCCTTTCCTTGTCAGCAATATTTTCTGACTATCCTTCACTCTGGTTGTACACTATCTATCGGTGTGCTTCGTTCCACATCAGCAAGTCTCAATGGTATATCACGTGCTTCTATCAACATCACTGTCATGAAAGCCTTACCTTCCACTGCAAAGATCACAGGACAACTTCTTACTCTTATCCCAACCAATGCTTTGCCTGATGCCTCACATTATTTTTTGTGGGATGGAGGGTATGTTACTGCTCACTCAATCATTCAGGGAACACCTGATTCCACAGAGCGCAATATTATCATGTCTGTTCCTGGTGCCCTTGTTGAACCAGTCACCCTGAAACAATGTTCATCCACTTCCAGGACAATGTTAATAGTGATGCATTTACTCAAGTCAATGGTGGGCAAAACACCTGGAAAGTTCCTCGAGATGCAATGCAAGCTGCTTATGATCTTCTGTGGGCAAAAGCTGTCAAAATGAAAGTGACACTGAAGTCAATTGCATCTGTCACATTCTCAAACATCAAGTCTCTCCCTTATCAACTTTTCGATGGTAAGTCTCATCAATTTAATGGTTGTGCATTGTTTCTAATGCTTCTTTTATTTCTCAGGGAGTGTTGCAGTGTTTTCAGTTGAAGCAAACAGCCTGTTGGCAGCATATGAAGGAGAACATGTTGCAACCTGTTTGCTGTCCTCAGAAAACCTAGATTTTTCCTGATTTATCTGCCGGGCCTAATACCAGGACATTCAGCACTATCAGACATCAGACATTGTCTGATATCAGAGAGGTCCACTTCTGGTATCAGACATGTGGTTCTAATTTCAGATACTAAATCTAACTGACCTGAGGCCAGTTATATGTCTGATGTCAGACATGTCAGGTCTGCAGTCAGACAAATGTCTGGGATTAGACATTTCAGACAGTTTGGTTAAAACTGAAGAAAATAGTGATACTCAAAATAACTTTCAAAACCTTTTGAAGACTCGCCTAGATGCCGGCTAAACACTTTGAACTCTCGGCTAAAGTAGTTTAAGAAAAGTTGAATCGCGCTCAGCACACATCGGCACGAAGTCGGGCATCAAAAGACTTAGGGTATTCAAGGTGTGTTATATGCAGTGGGAAGTCGTACTTAGTCGTACTTTACAGAGCTAACCGCAATGTAGGTTCGTAAGATTTAAATGCTACAACACGTATCATATTTCAAATCGCAGCATGCATGAATTTTTTTTAAAAACTAACTCTCAGCGAGAACAAAACCAGGTGTAGGTAGAGTATCAAAGGGAACAGATGCTATATTCCTTTCCACTGATGCGCTCCAGCTATAGTGAGCATCAGTGGTGATGGATGTATGATTGAGGAACGGACGTACAGCCATGTAGATACTAGTGCCAGTGAAGGTTCCAGCTACTGTCGATAGGCTCAGGAGAACGTGGTGTTTACACAGTCAAGTAAGGCCAAACTGTTGCGCCACCTGCGAAGGGTGGACTACTTCTGGATGTTGTAGCTGCTGAGAGTATGGCCATCTTCGAGATAGTGTGCAAGAGCGCCAACAGCCTCGAGCCAGTCGGATTGAAATGGGCATAGAGTTGGCCTTTAAGAAAGAGTATAGAAGGTCTAGGGAATGAGGTAGAGGGCAGGTGGGTGGCTCACCAGCCAAGATAAGGCACTGATAAGGTGGTATGTCTGCACTAGAATAGATTTTCTGTGAGATAAGGATAAATCTTAGCTACAACTTACAAATAGAACAAAAAATTACTTACCTTGTTGAGTGCATGACACTTGATGGTGTCATGCTCAGCGCTGTAGGTGATTTGAGGGTGAGGTCGACAACACCAACATGCTCAGCATGAGACGAAGCTTCGGAATTTGCCAAACATTTAGACTCCACCAAAAACAATGTCACATATATGCATAGATAGGAGATTTGATCCCATCAATTCCACCCCACTGTAACTAGTATGCCTCAGCCATCCACACGTCAAGAACTCCTGGATATTGTAGATCAGACTGAACTTGCTTTGGCCAAGCTACAGCACCAGGATATCTTAGATGATTGGTCTGACTCTGACTCCAACTTTGACTCTAGCTCTGATGATTCCAGCTCTGGCACCTCACTTTACTTCAAATGATGACACAATCAATCTGACTTTTAGCTCCCTCCCATCCCCCCTCTCCCCTATGACAGGGACCTCCAATTCTTCTAGCGACGGTTCTACATCTTCAGATGATGTCATTTTGCCTTACAACAGGCTCTACAATACCATTAATGCCCTCCGTGATGAGGATCTGAAAGCTCGTGTACTCCATAAGCCTGATGAGCCTCCTCCATGAGCCCCTCAGCTTCACATGTTAATTCATCATGAAGAACACTGCCCTCACTTGTTTCGGCAGAAACTTTGTGTCGACCCTAAGATTTTTGATGACATCCTCAATCATATCTCTAATCACCCTATCTTCCAAAACATATCCAACAATCCAACAATCCTCAGCTCCCTGTCTCCATCCAGCTTGCCATTTTTTTGAATCGGGCAGGCCACTATGGCAATGCCATTACTTTTGAGGATGTTGCTCAATGGGTAGGTGTGAGTGTTGGGTCCATGGTTAATTGCACTAATCGTGTGATGATTGTGGTGCTTGATGCCCATGATCAGTTTATCTGCTTCCCAGTAGATAACTCTGAGGATGCTGATTTGGCTCGCAAATTTGCTGAGTCATGTACCTGCCCAGAGTGGAAAGGTGGCTTTTTAGCCATTGATGGCTCAACTGTGGACCTTTTCACCAAACCTGGTTACTATGGTGAGACATTTTTTGATAGGAAATCCAAGTATTCCCTTGGCTGTCAGGTATTGTTTTTATTTTTTTATATTCTTGTGCAAAAATTGATTTAATTCCAGGCAGTCATTTTACCCCATAACCTTCTTATTGTGGATTATGCTCTGGGTCATCCTGGAAGTGTCCATGATGCATTCGCTTTTTGATCTACCTGTCTCTATGAAGAGCATGCTGACCTTCTACCTGATGGTCATTGGGTGTGGGCTGACAGTGCATATCCATTGGAGCCATGGTGCATTGCCCCTTTCAAGAAGCCTCGCAATGGGTGGCTGACAAAGGACCAGAAGTCATTTAATTATCACCTCTCTAAGGTATTTTTTTGAAGGGCCATATTTTAATAAATTAATTTTATTCATTTATTTAGATCTGTGTTTGTGTTGAACACACATTTGCTGTTCTAAAGGGATGGTTCCAGTCCTTTCAAGAGCTCTGGTTCAGGATCCAGGCTGAAAAAGACCTTGAGTTTGCTGTATAGTGGATCAAGTGTTGCATCATCCTGCACAACATGATCATTCACTTTGAAATTGAGCATCACAAGAAGGATGGAACATACCAGAGTTCTCTAAAGTGGGCCCGTGCAGAGGGGGAAGATTTTATTGATCAAGAGATTGAGAGTCCAAATGGTGAAGAAGTAGTTGGTGACAGGACATATGAAGGCACTCCAGGTCAAGCTGCTCGTGCAAGGCTGATGGATGCACTCTTTGATAGTCCTCACTCAGGTACACACCACAGGGAAGGATGACAACCAAAAACAATGCTTATTTGAACATGTACTACCACCAATACACCTGTACAACAAATGTATATACCTATGTAGCATGAATGAAAGTACTACAAGACATAAAACATGTACATATCCAATGGAACAAATAAGTAACAACAAATGACGACAATGATGACAAGATGACAAAGCAGACACGACGAGGGGATGGACAACAACAGATGCGGACAACACGAGGAAATAACTCATCCAGTTCCTGCATCTAATGAGGCCTTGGAGGCCTGCATCATTTGGTGGAACTGGATCTTGAGGCGGAGAGTTTCTGCTTCCTTATCAAGCACCAAGGAATGTGCTTGGTGGACCCGAATATCCATCTCACAAAGCCGAATTTCAGTGTCTTTGACCTCCTGCTGGCGCTGATGGCTGACTGCAGCTTGGGAGGCTTCGTGCTCCCGGGTAGCACGAAGCCACTCGCATTTCTTCATGTCATGATTGTGCTCGCTTTTGGCTTCAAGCTTGGCGATGTAGTGTTGATGTTTGCCCTCATGGCATGACATCACGCTCAACTGGAAGCTCTCGATTTCGTCCTTCACCTGCTCCACCTGCTGCGACATGTCTGACTGTACGTAGATGCCGGAGTTCTTGACAGCACGATGAACAGTTCTGGAGCAGGGGAGGCAGGAGGAAGGGGAGGCAGAAGGAGAGGGTGATGAAGGGAGTTGTTGCTTCTTCCCCGCAACTGGGCAAGGGCTACCAGGGCCATCGTTGAGCATCATGATGTCGTCGTCGCCTTCAACATGGTCCAATGCATTCCCCAAGGGGGAATGCAATGGACTGTAGTTGTCGGCGATATATACGTGAGAGGGCAAATGTGATGGTAAGGGGGGAGGGGGAGCAGAGTGTCGCAACATTAAGGAGTCATGTGTTGCTGGTGGATACATACCGCCAGCAAAATTTTGAGGTACGTGGTGCCCACATTGGTAGGCAGACAGATGATCTGAGACATTGGGAGTGTGTGATGACCGCCGACTGTTGCCATAGTACATGGAGGGACCAGCCCCACCATGTGGTTGAATGAGGGAGTAAAAGGCACCTGTGTGGTCGACACCAGGTCTTGATGAGTGCACTTTTGCAGCCATGGACGGATTAGAGTGCCAAATGGCATCAAGTTCTGTGTACCATGGCAGCTCAAGAAGCACGGTGTCCTGCATGATACGGGAATCATGCATGGACATAACTACTACTAGGAATAACCCTCAAAAGATTATGTCTGTTAGCACAGTCCTCAGACTAGTCACCCCATACCTTGGTATCAAACCTCGGTCCTATATTTCAAGTTTTATATGGAAGAAGAAGAAAAAGTCATATGTGAAGTAAAATGAAGGTCAAGGTATTGCCTTATCTTTGGCTTATTCACTTTGGCCAGAGAAAACCATTGAGAAAAGCTCAAAGCCTAACAAAAACCTATCTAAAAAGCCCGTGTCTTGCATATTGTATTTGTATCATTGTTTCTATCTTGTTTTCTCTAGCATTGTTCTTTTATTTTCTTTTATTTAGGATGCTATGACCTACCAGATACTCCAGAAAATATTATTTCTGAGTATGATGTCATAATGATGTCATATAGCTCCACAGAAAGTTCTAGACTATTCTGTTGGAAATTATGATGTAATGTATGAAGTCATAATGATGTCATAGGCTCTAGAATATTCTAGCTCCACTATGATGTCATCTCTGATGTCATTGCTCCATCTTTTATTTGTATTTTATACTTTTATTGGGTTTCACCCAATATTCTGATTGGTTCTCTCTTTATTTTATTGTTTGCGAACCTACATTACTTTCCCACACAAAATGTATATAAGGAGAGCCCATTCTCCCCAAAAAAAATAGAGATCCCTCTTCTAGGAAATTTTTTTTCTCAGAGAAACCCCTCAGTTGAACAAGACATCTCACTTGTTAAGATCTCCCACTTGTAGCAGAACAAGTGCAGGGAAACGTATCCCTTGAGAATACAAGTTTCTTACGATAAGAAGCTTACGTTACTGTTTATTTGACCAACCAGTCTTTGGTCCACGTGATTTTAGAGACCGTTGTCTCTCCTGTTTTACTGTTTAATTGACCAACTTGTGCCTTGGTCAACGTGATTATTCTTGAGACCATTGTCTCACCAGTGCTATTTGTACCTATTTGACCAACCAGTCTTTGGTCAACGTGATATTACAGAGACCCCTTTGTCTCTACTCCTATTCGTGCCTATTTGACCAACTCGTGCCTTGGTCAAATCTACCCAGTTCATTTCAGTGCCTAGAACGTGCAATCTAGGCAAAGTTATTTGTACTTCAGACCACAGTTCTGAATCTAGGTAGCAAATCCTAGACAAAGCAATTGGAGGTACACATAAAAGCTCTGGCTAAGTTGATCACCTGATTGGTTTAGCGAGCCTCCCAAGAACTCACACGTTATCTACCACGAAAGAAGAAAAGTCGTAGACCGTGTTAATCGAGGACTGGCAAGAAGTCTTATCCAAGTGTAATTGTGGTGTCATTACATTCTTACACGCTTTATATAAGACCCTCGGTTATTAAGACAACGGCATCTAAAACAATTGATCAGCCAAGAACAAGAAAAAAAATGGGACTAAAAACTCACCCAGCAGATTTTTTGCTGAAGTCCCCTCAACTGGCATGACACCAGCACCCGTACTGCCAAACGATGCCTTGATTTTGTTGTATTTACCCCTGAGACTGCGTGAATTGTAGAATTTTTATTAATGGAATAAAAAATATGATTAGACTTACGTCCCAATACGATTGCAGACCGCATCACAAAATTTCTTTGGATTGACCGAGTATGCAGGGCCGTACTTGATGTGGTCCGTGAAGATGAGCTTAGTGAGAATGCTGTATATCTGCCCCTTATCTGAGCCTGAGGGACCATCATCTGCAGCAGCCATGGCTTTCTTGCCATCAGAATAAAATAGAATTCGACAATTGGCAGGGTGGGTGGTCAGATAGTTCACCAGTGTGTCGGTAAGTGCACGGTCATGGTGCCACTGGATGGTGAGCCGGGGTCCAGATTGTTCCAGAGGTGGGTGGGAGGTGGAATGACCTTGAATATTTGATTCCTCATCTATTGCCCCCAAGTGCAATGGAGTATGAGCATTGAGGCATGCAGAACGACAGGCAGGAGGCATGGTCCTTTGAATCTAGGTCATGGGCCAAGGTTTCTTCAAGACTATAGCTGAGAGTTCCAAGTATTTAGCTGGCGTCTAAGTGAGTTTTCAAAAGATTTTGAAAGTTACTTTGAGTATTACTAATAATTAGTGCATGTAGCAGGAGTTGAACTCATGACTTTCAAAGTGCAGGGTGGGTCATGTGACCATGTCACATGACTTGTGAGCAACATTAACCACTTGGCTATAAGGCCTTTCTTATATATAACTGCAAATTATACATATACCATACTCTACTCAGAAACGGTGTCTTCTGCCCATCATCTCCTCTCTACAGCCTCCTTGTCAGCTCTCTCTGTGTCTCTGTGCCTTTGTTCCTGTTTGTATTTGCCTTTCACCGTCTGAATGTCGCCAAAGTTCTTAGGAAGCAATCTTGCGTGCTGTTTTGTGTTTGTAAGTCCTGCATCCAAAAATGCTTGTTCGCATGGCACTGAGGAACCTTGTACCAGTAAATAATCGAGTGCAATGCAGCTCAGGATGGGAAAATGGGGAGCATTGGTCTGATATGTTGGGTGTAAGATAGCTGACTCGGTGCTGGATAATACAATATGAGAATGTACCTTCCACCATGCAAAAATTGATGATGCTTGCTGTTCTGATGAGCTACGTCTGTCAACAGCAAATAAGTCCTCTGTGAGGAAAATCTTCAACTCGGCTCAAGCGTCTTTGGCTGATAGTTATTCGTGAGTACAACAACTTTCTGTAGCCCTTGCAATCAAGCTACTTGAACTGGTGCGTGAAACGGCAGACAGTGCACTCTGTCTAACATTTGATGATCCATCTACTGCTTGCTGTGATGTATACAGCTTTTCATACTTGTCAAACTTGATCTGTGTCAGTAGTGTACTATGTGAATGACGAAAGATGTTGTTACTCACAACTTGCTCCATCACGATCCGAGCTTATGTTTGACCATCTTCAGACCATGCTGCCTTGAAGTACTTGTCTTTGACACATGGATTCAGGTCTGAAAATCACTTGTCAGTGATTAATAAGTGTATAGGATATACTAGACAAGACTGCTCATACATAAAAATGATGTGTACTGGGGAGCTGTCCGTCTTGTTGTAGTATTTTTCAAGGCTCTCGATGCCTGCCTTGAGTGCTAGCCACAGTACTGCCATTTTAAGATCAGCTGCAAAGTCGCACCATTTTGTGATGAAGTCTTCATAAAGCAGAAGGATGTGCCAGACAGCAGGGTAATCCTTGGCCGAAAAAGCTTCCTGGATTTCTGCTGCAGCCTGCAAGTCAGATTCAGAAATTTAGTAGCTTGCATATGTCAGCTGGCCTTTGTCAATGTTTGGCACATCATCCAAGTCATCTGCTGTGCTGGTGAATAATTTGACAGCCTGTACATGCATTAGGCTAAGGATTAGACAATTAATAACCTAGTGGTGAACCTTTCTCAAAATGAGTAAGCAAGTGATGACACTATACCATGAGCCCCAACAAGTCTTGCAATATGGAAGCAGCTCGAGCACTTCATTTCATGCATCTTGACAACACTTCTTGAAATATTTTTTAGCCTGTGGTGAATATCGGACCTATACTTGTGAATTAACATTATGCTATATATGATGACAAACCTTTGAGACTAACCTTTGTGATGAATCCCTGAATCTTCAAAAGAAGCTTTGAGACAGCTCATGTGTTCTTAGAGCTTGGAGCAGCTTCAACTTCTCACTCCAGGGCTTGAATGTCTTCTTCAGTATCTTCTTCATCTGCTTACAACAAGACCAGTTCAGATTGTGGTAGTATAATGGGCACATCTTTAAACTCTCTGTCTTTGCTCTTTTTTTCATGGAAGGCGAGAGTTTTGATAAGAATTTGCACTCAGCAATGGCCACAGCATGAGAGAAATGGCTGTTGACACCAGAATCAGACCAGTGTAAGCCTAGTATTATTCAATAGAAACTTACTGTGAGCGCTGCTGTTTTGCATCAAATGTGATTTTGTCGTCCTTGAGTTCTCCCCGAGACTGTTAAGACCGTGCACAAAAGGTAGGACTGATTCCAAGGGGCTTGGCTTCAGCTCGTGCGCTGCACCCCTTACCTGAGTATGTGCCCTTAACTTCAGAATGAAGTCCGGAGAAAGTCCAGTGAAGTCCGAAGGACTTCCGGAGAAGCGTGGGAAACTTCGGAAGGACTTTCCGGACGAGTGCGAGAAACTTCCGGAAATTACGATGGAGTTTCGTCCTGACGGGGATATGTGTAATGGCTACTCAGGACAAGTCCTGAGTAGAAGCAAACAGAGGAAAGGCTGAAAGGACAAAGTCCGAAGCAGAATAGGTCCAGAGGACCGCAGGAAAGTTCTGGAGGAACTTCCGGAAACTTGGAGGATTGGAGGAATGGTGGATTGGAGGAGTGGAGGAGTGGAGGAGCGGAGGAGCGGAGCTCCGGCCTAGGGAATTCCTCCCTAGGCCTGAGATAGATAATTACTAAGTCAGAGGACTAGAACTGTTATGAGGACTTAGGGTGAAGGCTAGTGCGAGGACTAATATGTGTAATATTCAGACTAAGGAAATACAGGAGTATCTACTGGGGTTTATATACTAGAGGCAAGTCTGTGCAGATCAGTAAGCAGAGGGGTAAGGCTATGTACAAGCATGTGGAAATGTATTAGAAAATAAGATGGATCATAGGAAATGAACTCGGAGATGAAATGAGGTACGGAAAATGAGTATAGTCTAACTTGAGAAGGAACGTACAAAGGGAAAAGGCACAGAAGATAGACGCTGTGTTAGGATGTTTGGCACCAGGGGCTCCTAGGGACCTCCTAGGGGTCATTCTTAGTTAGGATTCAGGGTTCTGGGGTCTCGGACCCAGTTGGCAGAGCTTTTAGAGTAGAAGTTTCCCAGGGTAGAATCATCATCATTCACCACCTGTTAGACATCTAGTGTCGAGGTGCAGCCTCTCCACCTGGTGACTAGAGCGAGCGCACATCACGGCGATCACCCTCAACGAACTCTGTCGACTCCACAACATATCTGGGTCGTACGACAATAAACCTCCACTTAGACGCATAGTATCAGATAGCAAACTTTCACCTCCCAAAGATTCAAACCCTGGTCACGCTCTGACAATTCTCTCACCACAGACAGATAACACTAGTACCACAAGCGCTAACTTACGATTCATACAACAACGACTCATTTTGTCGAAAGTCCCGAAGTCACTCGCCCCACCCATTCCGAATTCTTCTGTAACCGGCATAAGCATGTCAACGACTATTACGCCCCAGCCTAGTTTTTACGGAGACTACGAAAAAAAGTGAGGAACCTACCGATTGGATCCGGAAGTATGAACTTTCCTTTCCCTCGACATCTACAGACACCGAAAAAATCAATCACTTTGAACTACAATGTGCCGCTGCCAGTCCAGCCAAGAGTTGGTTCGCAACTCTTCAGGCATCAGACAAAGTGTTGTGGACCACGTTCCTGGCAGCGTTTAAGATTCGTCGGCCCCCACCGGTACAAGTAGTATTAACAGTCGCACAGAAGAAGGACCGAATCAAAGCATTAGCGTTGCAAGAGGAAGAGATTGGCATAATGATAGAAGAGGACAGAGGCAGAGAATGGGGACATGTGAAGTGGGCGAAGAAGGTCACAAGAATGGCTCAAGGTTTCAACGACGCGCAATGTCACCTGCTGGACGTGGTACTGGAAAACACCCCCAAAGTCCTACACGACTTCCTGTCAGACAATTACACTACGTGGACGGAATTCGAGATGGACGTCGCAAGGATTTCTGCGTCACAGCTGTTGAGAGCGAAACAACGACTTGTCACGGAGCGAAAGCTTCGTGAAGATGTTGACAAACTTCAGAACCAAACAACGAGCAGCCGCAAGACAACGTCACCGACCACGCAAGTCCCATATAGCGCACCACCTGCCTACAGATATGGACAACGCTATAGCAGACAGCCTGCAGCAACACCACAGCCCCAAACAATCGTACCTTCCCAAGCACCTCAGATATCTTTGTTTCCCGTACTTCCCCAAACACCACAGATCACCAACTTGTTCACATCCGCAGTCCCAGCAACACGGGGTAACCTATTCTATGGGTACAGAGGGTATCTGCAGATGCCAACTCGACGAGGAGGGTCACCTGCAGAACGGCTGAGAACTGCAGCTCAATACACCACCATTCCGCACCACCCCAATTCGGAGGCAGGAAGACAAGCCTACGCTCAACAAGTCCAAGAATGGCATACGCAGCATGGATCGAATGCCATCCCTAACTCACAACGACCCTACCCTTTGAAACCGGGCACGTCACCCATTGGGTCCAGAGAATGTTTTAGCTGTGGAATGGCAACAACACCTTCGCATCAGTCCTACAAATGCCCTAATGAAGTAGTGCCCATCTAGGAAACTAAATGGCGAGAGACAGTATCGTGTTTAGTCTCCAGGACGTTGATGTCAATGGCCACACCGGGACCAACCGCGAACGTTCAATTCATAACACCTGCAGCGGGCCCGCCACTAATCCAGTACGCAGCACCTCCATCCTCAGCTCCATATTTCCACCATCCTTACTTCACGGAACCATATGACGTCTACAACATTGCGGGAAACGAGTACGGACCACAGTAGTAGGGGACTTACCTGCAGTCCCAACTCAGAACACCTCAGCCTCACCTGTACCTACTGCAACCACAGGCACAGACACTGAAGACAATTCCCCGTCCCCCGACTCACCAGACACCGCATATAACATCCCACTCTCAGAGATCACGTCAGCCTTCACATCGCATTTCAGTACCTTGGTTCTCAACACGCCAGCCTCTCAGATGCAGGACATATTGAATGATGAAGAAACGGTCGATGAATTCATTGTGCCAACAATTGAAATCACCTCCCCAGAAGTTCAACAGAAACCGACATCGCCAGCAACACATGAAGCTGACTCACTTCTAGAAGATTTTCCGTTCTCAGATTTGGACTTTAGTTTTCTTTCTATGCCCAATTCTCCTTCTAGTACCTTCTCACATGTTGAACCGCATGACCCTGCTCCAGAAACCCATGTACAAAGCTCGTGGATCGCTGTACCTGACTCAGTAGACCAAAGCACATCGATCAATAGTTCTATCCCTACGCTAAGTCCCGTATCTACCTGTGAATCAATCCCAACGTCTGACTGCTATTCGCGCACAAATGATCAAACAACTGTTGATCTTTACGCTGTTTCAGAAAATGAGAACCCCAATCACGCATCAGAAAGCACCCCATTCATCACCCAGGTCATCCTATATGGACCCGGCGCAAAAACGACATGTTTTCATGTGAATGTCGACGACAGAGCAATGGTAAACATAATGGACCTAAAGGCCTTCAGCAAGGCATCACAGAACCTCAAGAAGCTCACGCAATCGGCACGCATTCTCTGAATGGCAAATGGCGTCGAAGTACCGTCACATGGAGTCTGGACAGGAACATTCCAGTGGAACAGGGCGAAAGTCCGAACATCATTTGAAGTCTTTGATAGCGGTGGTCTCTGGAACTTACTGATTGGAAAACCCCTTCTAGAACAACTACAAGCTATGCACGACTACGCAAACGACACCATCATCATTCCAGCCCTACCAAAACCGTATATAATTCATAACATAGCTAATTCATCCGCAGCACCCAAATCTAGATTGTCAGACAACACCATTCCGGTACATAATTCACAAGCATCAGAACCCCACGCACATAGTATGGAATTAGAAGAATCAGAACATCAAAATCGTAATATAGAACCAGAAGCACCAGACCATCAAGTACATAATAACGGCGCCGTCTACATAACCGTCACGGTTCCCGCAGATCCTGAGCAAAACATTTCCTCTCTTAGTCCACCAGTAATCGCTAATGAACATTTTGTATTTATAGTTTCTCCAAAGTACACGAATCAGCAGATTGATGCCTATACGGATACATTGTCCCATGCAGGAGCCCACATAATCACAGCCAACAGCAAGCCACAACTATCCCTGAAAACTGATATCCCGTCCGAAATGCCTTGTTCCCCAATCTTATTCACAGGAACAACTTCTCCATCCGACACCCAGCCACCAAGCACCTCAGTCTGGCCGGTACTTGAAGACATGGAGGAACAGAACCTGGGAGAAATCCCTGAATTCCCCGCATCAGCATCGGCACCCAGCGTGTATTCAAGACACTCGGACCCGTTCAATCCAGCAAGAGTAACGGAGATCATGCAACAGATCAAAATTGGGGACAATTTAAGTCCAACACAACGAAACCAGGTGCGCGATCTATGTATGGAATTTGCTGATACTTTTGCTCTAGCTGTTAGTGAAGTCTTCCCGGTGGATTTCAAAACCTTCAAGCTCACGTTTCTGGAAGGAACGAAGTTCACTACCAAGATAAACCAAAGGCCACTAACACCACCTCAACGCGCATTCTTGTACGAACGACTCAATGAATTGGAGAAAGCCGGAATAATATGTCACATCGACCCAGAAGAAGTCAAAGCTGCCAGCCCCACTGTACTCGCCCAAAAGGCACACAGCTCGGGAAGCCTTCCAATTGAAGAGCTTCTCCATCGCGTCAACGACCAATGTGCGGCACATGGATTGCCAACGAGGGATGACCTACCGCAAAGACCACCAAACCCGGCCGTCAACAAAGGTGGAAACAGAGCACCAAAGTGGAGAGTATGTCAGAACTTCGCTGAAATTAACCGCGCCAGCCAAATACCACCGGTGCCCCAAGGCGACATTAGAACAAAACAGCAATGACTTAGTGGACACCACTGGATCAGCGTAATCGATTTTGCGGCAGGCTTCTACGCAATCCCAGTAGATGAGGAAACTCAGCCATACTTGGTGTTTTACACAGAAGGCCAAGGATATGACTGCTACTGTCGAATGCCATTCGGGCTAACGGGTGCACCAACAAATTTCGGGGACATGGCTGCCATGGTGCTACGGGATCTTATCGGTTTGTTATTTGAACTCTATGTCGACGATACGGGAATGGCAGGTGATGTATTCGAGGAAAAACTAACACATTTACGCAGATTTTTCGAATGAGTCAGGGCTATGTGCCTCTCATTATCTCCATCCAAAATGCAGCTGTTCATGACAGAGATTGTCTTCACGGGAGCCAGGGTCGGACAAGATGGGATAAAGCCAGACTTCTCCAAGCTGTCGGCTGTTGTGAACTGGGGGATACCCAACACGATTCATAACCTTATGCAATTTCTTGGACTGACAGGCTATTTCAGATCATTAATCAAAGATTACGCCAGGAAAGCAGCACCTCTCACGGACCTAGTACAACGGTTAGGAACCCCCCCAGGAGGACAACATGTCGGACGATACAAGTACAGGCAGCATCTATGAATGACCCAGCTCAAATCACATTGGGGACCCAGACATACTGAAACGTTTTTAGAACTTAAGAGAATTTTAGTAGGTGAACCCATTCTGAAAGGACCTTGTTTCAATGGTACACCCTTCATAGTAACTACAGATGGCTGCCAAGAAGGATTCGGCGCGATACTAACCCAGAAGCATACCTCAACACTCCCGTCAGGAAAAGTAGTTACCACTGTCCACCCAATCTCATTCACGTCAAAACGAACTTCGGCTGCGGAAGAGAAGTACAAACCGTATCTACTAGAATTTGCTGCACTAAAATTTGGTCTAGATCAGTTTTCAGACATTATTTGGGGATCACCAGTAGAAATTGAAACTGACTGTCAGGCTCTAAGGGACACCTTACTAAGTTCGAAACTAAGCACAGCGCACGCTCGCTGGTGGGACGGAATACTGGGGTACCATATCGTAGACGTCCGTCATCGACCAGGAGCAACAAATACAGCGGCTGATGGACTTAGCCAAAGCTTTGTAACAAGGGAACATGCGCCAGGAGATGGAGCTGAGTGGACCGTCAACGAAGATTGGGAAGCAGCAAGAGGAATCATGCAGGACTTATTTGAGGTAACGTCAACGGAAATCACGACAAATTCTAACGATTCATCCATAGCTAATCTACGTCACCGGTTCCAACACGAACCCTTATTCCTTGAAGTCATCGAAGCCTTATGCGACCTTGACTCCAACAAACCAATCACCATCAAATGGCAAGCGGGTCACCGGGCCAAACAGTTTTTTATTGCGAATGATAAACTATGGAAAGTACCTAACGATTCTTCTGCTAGGGTTCGTAGTAAGCTAGAGTGCGTTACACAAGATGAGGCAATCAAACTCGCACGCAGCGAGCATGCTGAACATGGACACTGGGGACGCGACATGATCAAACTCCAACTTATTGACCACATATGCAGCCCTCAACTGGACCGCTCGATCACCAAAGCCATCATGGACTGTGGACAATGCAAGAACTTTGGAGCAACCCACCTGAACTCACTTCTTGAACCTATCGTTAGATGGCACCCATTCGAGCTCTTCATTGCTGACTATCTAGCAATGCCAAAAACAAAAGGGGGTTTTACCAACATTCTCTTAATCATTGATACATACTCACAGTTCGTTTGGGGTTTCAAGCTCAAAACTCACGGAACGGCAAAAACGACGATTGCGGAACTCGAGAGGATCCGACACGATTTCAACACGCCAGAAACACTTATGACTGATGGTGGAAAGCATTTTGATAACGCGGAGGTTCAGGCCTGGTGTGAAGAGCACGGCACGAAACACTACGTCACTGCTGCCTACGCACCCTGGGTAAATGGGTTGGTAGAAGGAACTAACAAACTATTATTAGGAAGGCTGAAGTACATGTGCGCACCCCACCTTGGAGAAGACAGTAGCACAACGATAGAACCCGAATCTGTCCCTACCATGTGGTCAAACCACTTCAAAACGGCAATTGAGCACCTCAACAGCCGTGTTCTGCCTTCATTCCAGTTTTCACCCAAGGAGTTACTCCTGGGCCTCGTCATCAACACTCCTCGCACCCCGCTCGAAGATACGACAAGCGCCGTCATCCCACAAGATGTTCATGTTCACTCTGCCTACGTAACGCAACAACGTCTGGACGCTCTTGGCAATGCAGTAGCCAATGCTATAAGACGGAAGGCAACGTTTGACAAACAAGTCCTATCATCACATCAAGGTGAGGTATCATTTAGTCCTGGACAACTCGTTCAAGTATATGCTAGTGACATCGACAATAACTTTAAATCTTCACGCAAAATCGTTCCACGTTGGTCAGCTCCACGCCGAGTAGTCACCAAACGCACCAACTCTTACTCGCTGGAGACGTTAGAAGGGTTCCCCATGCCAGGATGGCACCATGCACGACGCTTATGGTTGTTCTTGCCTTGAACAGGCACTCTGTTAGCGGAGATAGAGAATGAGAGAGTTAGTGAGACTGATGTTGTAGCTACCACTCAGTGAAGGATGTCAGCGACCCCGGAGCATTGCATTTTTAGAGGGGGGTATCTGTGTTAGGATGTTTGGCACCAGGGGCTCCTAGGGACCTCCTAGGGGTCATTCTTAGTTAGGATTCAGGGTTCTGGGGTCTCGGACCCAGTTGGCAGAGCTTTTAGAGTAGAAGTTTCCCAGTGTAGAATCATCATCATTCACCACCTGTTAGACATCTAGTGTCGAGGCGCAGCCTCTCCAACGCGGGTCGGATCCGGATGTTCGGAAGTCCGGAGACAGGTGATTACCATAAGGGGATGGGCGCTGATTTAAGGTTTGGGTTCGGATATGAAGCATAGGTCGGATCCAGGGATCCGGAGATGTGGATATCAGATCTGGCGTCCGGATATCAGATGCAGGAGTACAGGGATCCGGACGGATAGAGGATTGGGTCTGGAGACATGGACAGGAGGTCCAGAGGTCCGGATGAGGCGTGGGAACATCATCGGATGTTGGTCCGGAATGTGGGATATGACAGAGACTCTGCATACTCTTATTATTCATGGTGACATTATCAGATGTAAGATTTTGTATTTGTATGAGACTCATCAGAACACAGCATACAGAGAATTCCACATAGCAAAGTAGTACCTTATCACAAATACCATACTGTTTGAGAACATCATACAGTTCCACACCCAGATTCTCACCACTATGACTACCATCAATCTCAGAAAATGACAATAATTCTGATTGAAGCCACCAATGCTCCGACATCCAATGAGCTGTGACCGCAAGATAAGACATCATGATTTTGGATGTCCATCCATCAAATGTAAGAGAGATACAACCTGGAGAAGCCTACTAAACTTGAGCTATGTATATCATCCATGCAATGGTACACTTACCTGCAATTCATTTGCGAGATCTGCCTGTATTTCTGTGGCACATGCTAAGACTGATTTAGTAACTTTAGTTTGATGTGGAATATCTGCTGACTTCGTCTTATTGTAATCATTATAGAGTAGAAGTTCATGGAATGTGTCATGGTCAATAATCGAAAGTGCTTGGTTAGTTTCAACTATGAATCAGAGAAGGAGATCATTAAATTGCTCCTTAGTCCATTCCTCACCAGGTTTCTTGATGGTTTGCATGAAGCCTACTCTCTCGTATTGCTCATTATGTCTCTATTTGTCATGGTCATGGTCACTCTATGTAGTCCACAGCTATTCTACCTAGCTCATGGTCACTTTATGATACCAGTATTGCACTGATGTACTCCATTCCATGCAGAACAGCTTGTTTGGATATTTATGGACTTATTATCTCACTGATGTGTTTACTATACCTGGTCTCATTCCTATGTTTCACCTTACACTATCACATTCTAGATACTTATATGTGGCTTGGAGATTTGTATCTTTCTCTTTGTTGAATCAATGCCAGTTCCTGGCCTCTCTCTCCTCTCACATATTGTCTGCTTCCTCCGCTCGTTGAGTACCTGTTACAGTTTGCTTCAACCAACAAACTTGTCAACTTGACTCTCGACTCTCGAAACTCGTATAACCCCTTATTCTATTCTACTAACATGTCTGATCCTAGCAACTGGAACCCAGAAAGGGAGATTCCACTCCATTCCCAGCCTACCTTTGTCCCCACCCTGGAAAATTTCCATGAAGTCCTGCAGGCCATCACAGTGCTCAGACAAAGTTCCTACCGCCTCGATGAGCATCAGCACACCATAGGTTGTGCCCTCAAAGACATCACTGACAAGATTGCTGCCCTCAGATTCTCCACCATGCCACACAGTGCTGCAGGATACCACAATTCTTCAGGATTGGTCGTCCTGCCGGGGTGTCACCAAATTCCGGAAACCATGCCTCTTCAAGGGCAATGCTGCTGAAGTAGATAGATGCCTTCGTAGATGAAGTCCTCAGCGCTGTTAAACTATCCTGCTCGTCCCTGCCCACTGACATGGACAAGGCTTTGTACTTGTCCACATATTTGGACAATGGCTCACGACATTCTTGGTTCACAGCGATTCACTGAACCAATGAGGAGTTGCTTCACGATTTCAACTCGCTACTTGAGGACTTCAGACAGCACTTTGTGGATTCCGACACTGAGGGCACTGCTCTCCAGAAGATTGAGAACCTTTGGCAGACTGGAATTTGTGCTAATTACGCATCCAAGTTCTGCAAATTATTAGTCTATGTCAACTTCAACACCTCGACTATGGTACAAAAGTACTATGAGGGTCTGAAGGATGAGGTGAAGGACTTGTTACTGACTGTTCATGATCCTCCCACCAGCTACAACAACTATGTCGAACTCACTGTCACCATCGACAATCGACTTTATCATCAAGAGGTTGAGCGCAAGACAGCAAAGAAGCCTGCTCCTCGTCAACAATCCACTACTTACACCCCACACTACACCCCAGCCAAACCATCAGCCTCAGCCTTGCTCTCTCCTGGAATACCGATGGAAATTGATGCTATGAAGACTGTGCCGCACCAACCCCTCACCAAGGAGGAATGCAAACACTGTTTCACCCAAGGCCTCTGCCTGTATTGTGGAGGCACTGAGCACACTGTCAAGAACTGCCCAAATATATCTAAATGTGCAAAGAAGAAATTCAATGCACAGAACGACTCGGGAAAAGCTTAACCGGCTGCCATCCAGTCCCTGGGCATCTGGTTGTAGACGATGGGACACGTCAGAACCACCTTGCAGCACCGGATCCCACTCATATCTGTCTCTCAGATGGAAACTATACCCCACTCGTAAAGTCTGCCCCTGCTTTTATTTTCTCTTCCAATTCCTACTTGAATTCATCTTTGCATTTCTTCATCTCTGTTCACCTTTCATTTACTAACAGAAAACCCATTGACACTTTCACCCTTGTTGACTGTGGTGCTACCACATCTTGTATTTCTGATCATTTCACATCCCGTCATTCGCTTACGCGTTGCGTCAAAGAGACACCAATCCCTATCATGGCGGTTGACGACCGTCCTATCACATCTGGGCTGATCACCCATGATGTCATCACCCATATTTCTGTCTCCAGTCACAAAGAGATATGACCACTTGCGGTTGTGTCTGTGGCTTACCCTCTCATTTTAGGTTTAGATTGGCATTGCCAGCATAATCCCAACATCGACTGAGAAGAATCCACTCTCTCCCTTGATTGTTGCGGGCTCACTCGCAAAAACCCTGTCATTGTTTCAGCAAAGGGCTTTGGTCCTAAGCTGCCCTTATCACCCTCAAAACTCAGCTCCTTTACTACAGTTGGAATAGGCTTTGGCCTCTCTGATGCCACCTCGTACTCGGCCCGTGCACTCTCCACACCATTGGTGCTGTCCTCTGACCAGCCTAAGACTACTCTGGATCCCAGTCTGGGCAGTTTAAAGACCTTGTTCCTCTCCTCCCTCATCGCACAGAATGGCTATGGTCACTCCATGTCCCCCAGCTTGTCCCCTCGGCCACCTAATATTTGTTTCATCTCAGCAAAGAAGTTTGCAAGGACAGCTCGTGCTCACCCAGACAATGCCTGCCTTCTCCACTACCATTCCCCAACTTCTCCCGCCTATGTCTGTGCTACCATGTCATCGTCGATCGACACTGTTGATGCACACTGCACGCATTTGGCACATATCCTTTTCATTGTCAGCTGACGGCTGTGGCTCAAGCATGCACATCGGCTCGCATCCGCTTTTCTTTGGCTCTGTCACGCATCGTTCCTCTGTCCTATCCATGTCCTCCGCTTGTCCATTTGTGTGTACCTTATCTCATTTATGTTAGACTGACCATATCTCCGAAGCTATATCACTTATGTTCACGGTACTTGCATTATGGACCCTTTTTACATATTACCGCTACCTACTTGGCTCCGAGCAGCGCTTAGCATGCTATCATATATACTCAGTAATTATGACTTTTCATGTATCTTCTTTTTCCCCCATCAAAATTATCATCTGTTTGCATGCAACACTCTGACTGAAAATCTAAAACTTTGGCCTACTACTGTGCGCACTTCATCTACCACATGTATCACTAAACTCTCCTCCTGTTTCACTGTCACGTCGCATTGCCTTCGTGTTCCGCTAAAGCCTTCTCATATATCCTTCAGCTCTTCCTCGTGCTTCTGCGCTTCGTCAAACTTTCGGCTGCTCAGTCGTGCATCATATCATACTTTCGGCGGCTCGCTCGTGCTAGCATTGCATCAGCGCAACTTTTTGTGCTCCCTCTATTCTCAGTTACCCTTACTAGTTTCAAGGTTTCCCCTCCATATATTACTTAGAGGAATCGTTCTCAGTAGCAATCCCCTTGGGCCAAATCTATACTCGCGTCCAGAGGTCTATTTGAGTTTTACCCCACTTCACCCTTTCTTCCCCTTTCACCCCTTCTCATCTAGCTATCATTCCTCACACACATCAGTTTATTTGAACATCTTGTTGTCCCTTATGGTGTCACTAATGCTCCTGCTGCCTTTCAAGCTTTCATTTAAGACACTCTCCATGATCTGCTGGATATTGTCTGTGTCGTCTATTTAGATGACATTCTGATCTTTTCCCATTCTCAGGACGAGCACGACAAGCACATCCGACTCATACTTGACCGACTGTGCGACGCTCACCTTTGCGCTAATCCTGCAAAGTGTGAGTGGGACAGATTGGAGGTCGAGTATCTGGGCTACATCATCGGTGCTGATGGCATCAAGATGAATTCCAAAAAGCTTGACACCATCATATTGTGGCCCGCACCTACGTCCGTAAAGGATGTTCAATCATTTTTAGGGTTTGCTAATTTTTATTGTCATTTTATTGATGGTTACTCGCGCATCACTCAACCACTGACTAATTTAACAAAAAAGAACATCTCTTTTGACTTTTCAGGTGCCACTCGCTGTGCTTTTGATGCACTCAAGCAAGCTTTCGTCTTATCCCCAATCTTGCAGCACTTCGACCCCCAGAAGCCATGCACTGTGGCCACAGATGCCTCAGACTTCACCATTTTGGGGGTGTTTCAGCAGCCTAATCACGAGGGCTGCCTTCATCCAGTCATGTTCTACTCGCGGAAGCTTTCTCCCATGGAAATCAATTATGAGGTGCACAACAAGGAGTTAGTTGCTGTCATGGACACCTTCCATGACATGAGAGCATGGTTACTTGGTTCGCCATTCGCCATTTCTGTTATTTTGGATCATAAACACCTTGAATATTTCATGTCTGCTCATGTCCTCAACTGCCATCAGGCACATTGGGCGATGTTTCTTTCTGATTTCGATTTTTCTTTGACCTGGGCCCCGGACAAAAGTAACATTGCTGACACCCCCTCTCATCATCCCAATTTCCTCCCACAGAAGGGGGATGAGACCCTGCTGGGTCAAAACCATATCATACTAACTCCCAAACACACATGATCATTATCCCCAACCACCCTAAATGCTATCACGACAACACTCTCTATTGACAATGCGGCACTCCTTGAGCATTTCCCAACAGCACTCCAAGATGACACTGAGTGGCGAGAAGCAATCGTGTGTGGCAACACAGACTTTGCCTCCAAGAATGGTCTAGTATTCCACAACCTTATTCTCCCAGCATGATGCTGTCATAGCAGGTCACCCAGGACACAATCAAACATATGGACTCATTGCTCGAGACTACTCGTGGCCTGGCATGCAAACCTTTGTCAGGCGCTACATAGAAGCCTGTGACACCTGCACACACATCAAAACACCCCGTCACAAGCCTTATGGCTTACTACAGCCTCTCGATGTCCCCTCTCATCCATGG